CTAATACAGATTAGATCCAATTATATTAACAACAAAAATCAAGGAAATGTAACAACATTCACAAGTTATACTGGTTAGCAATGAATATGATTATTTCCACACCATTTTGTCCTATATTGGTAAATATTACTTCATTGGATCACGTCGTCGGGGTCACCAATGAAAGACAAAGGATTCATGCTCTCAAGGTGGGCATGCACTAAAACATCACCTGATGATCACCTCATGTCGTACTCGATACAATAGTTATTATTATATTATATTATTTGTTTATTTTACATGTTGTTCTAGGGAGGGAGAAATGAGGTTGTTAGAAACTTAGAACTAATAATTATAATCTCCTTACAGTACTGCAGTGGACATGGACAGACAGATGTTGACGATCCTGTCTCCCCAACCCCGGCCGCTCCCCAACACCGTGCTCCTCCTGTCGGAGTTGCAATACATGGACAACCACTAGTCCGTGCTATTTGGCCCTCGGGTGCGTCACGCCTTCAGTAACATCTCGCTCACTCATTGAGCTGGATCTTCATTTTGTGCTCTTTTCTCTTTCAAGGTCATGTGGTGGAACTAAGAAATTTATGTGAGGGGGGGGGGTAAAGTCCTCATTATGTGGTAAATGATATGGTCTATACCATACATATGGCTTCGCAATGTCTGGTGGTATCTCTTCGCATGTGGTATCTCGTATAAGGTTCTCCCAAAGACTTCCATATGGGCTGGTTGGCTTTGTTTTATCATGATTTCTGCCAACAGCCGCCTAACCGACATAGTCCAGGTATATGGGCATATGGGCCGGTTGGCTTTGTTTCATCATTATTTCAGCCAACAGCCGTCTAACCAACATAGACAATTTATAAAAAAAAAACTATCACGTAACTAGAATATAGATTATGTAAAGGTCAATGGATGATGATAGATGAATGGATTAAAAAATATGTAAAACAAGACATTTTAACTACATTTTTATACCGATTCTGATTATGAAGTTATTTTTCTATGAATTATGTGTTCAATTAATAGATTTCTTCATAAAAATTAACTATAAAATATAATGATGTGTGTAAATGAATTTTGTGCGTATGATGTGGCGATAGGAAACCAATGAATGATGCAAATCGAATGTCACTTTTTACTTTGAAGTTTTTTTATAAAAATATACTAACGACCAGTCCCCGCCGGACGGGCGAATGGTGATACTAAATTTGTCCACTAATGGAGTTTATTAATTAATTATACATATAAAGCTTCCTCTTCAACCACTATCTATTAGATAAATCCGTTGCGGTGTAAGCATACATAGGGATACAGGGACAGAAACAAGTGACTCTGTTTGATTTATACTGTATAGTGATGAAATGTTCCTAGAAGACTGGCAACATTGTCATATTTTTTAACATTTTTTGAGATGAATTTCTTCCTCAAATTGTCTTTAACCCTTTACTGGTTTTACTTACTTTCGACCTAAATTAGAAAAGAGCACGTTATGAAAGTTACATTGCGTTACGCAGCCGGGTGTCAAACGTGTGTCCTCGGTGATGTGATAAGTGACAGATCTCCAGATCTAAAAACTGACTGTACATATATTTAATGTAGTAGAAATTTTACCGAATAATATTACTTAAAAGACTGTTGTTTATAAACGACCATGTAACACTAATAAAAAATATGTGAAAATTATTTTGTATTTTTTTTCGCCATTTTGCTATTATTATTGTCATCATATATGAGTTTTTTATCCTGAAGATGATTTGTCATTATCAATGTGTGAAAGGCTGGTTCGATTATTTGGATAGTCCGGCTGGAGGCTCAAGTTTACATCCACCCACCCAAAGGGCCGGGAACACACTTTTTTTTTCTTTTTTTTTTGTGAGGGGAAAATCATCAAATGACTTCTCCCGCCCAGGGCCGGGCGGGAGGGAGTGTCAGACTCTTACTGACTAAAAACCCCCCTGTTCCTTCTCCTGCTCTGGGCCGAGGTCGCGGTGCCTCATTGCGCTTACCCCGCAACCCCGGCTGAACATCAGCCCTTTAGGGCCCCGTCTGTGGTGGTCGAATGGCTCTTTGAGGCGCGCGCGGAACGCTACGAGCCGTACGCTCGGGCCTGGTTCTGGTCGGGCGGCGAGCGCCGGGAACACACTGGTGTTGCAAGTGTTTAGCGTGTCGTTCGCTTACAAATTGTTATGCGTCTGATCGCTGGTCGCCATTTGCCAACATTATTTAAAATGTTCTACTTTATCAGAGAATGCTGCTCAAATCCAAGAATCTTAACCATTTTAAATTATAAGGTGATATAAACGCGCGGTAGAGTCTTGCTTCGCACGAATAAGTCTGCACGACCACGACACTGCTGGCGTGAAACAACCACAGCGTTTTGTTTCGCAGTGAGCCAGGTCATAGGAGGCCCTAAAATCTGATGTTACGGGCGTCCATGGGCGGCGCCGATTACTTACCATCAGGTAATCCGTCTGCTCGTTTGCTGACCTACTTAAGCCATAGAAAAAAAACAAAAAGAAACCACATAAATAATAAGTTACAACATAATTTATTTACAAAAATAGATCAAAGAGGTAGAACTAGTATTTATTTACAGGAAGACATTACATTGAGAATTTCATTCAAACCAATACCTACATTACATGTTTATAAGGCAATCATACTTTTATTGATAAACATACAGACATTAAAAAAAAGGATGAAACATAGTGATTATGACTCTTTTTAATTTGCTACAAATCAACATAACTTAACACATTCAGTGCCACCGACTCGCTCAGAGAGTCCACGTAAATTTTATACCAGCGCCGTGGCCTGGTGAGTTCAACGTAAAATGTACGATAAATTAGCGGCATCCGAGATTTCATTGTGAAAATCGTAGTCGTAATTAAAGTGTTAATTGAGGAAAGCTCTACTAGTTTCAGGTCACGACGGAACTCTTATTCATGAGCATCGGGCGTGCAGGTGCACCGACATGAAACTAGTAGTTTTTCTTAGTTAATTCACGTGGTTGCCTCGCTAGGGATTCTAGTAATAGTCAACAACATTTTGGTACTATCGAACTACATTTTTGATCTTGTGACAGCTGTGCTGAATGAGCAACTAAGATCTACATAACATGCTGTACATTATTGCGCTGCATAACCCCGGTCCGGCTCACAGGAGAAGGAAAGGGCTAGGTTATGGTCAGTAAGAGTCTAACTAACCAGCATCCTTGGGCATATCAGAGACCATAACACGCATTCTGTCTATTATTAGAGAACTTTGTTCTGTAAATACTGACAGCAAAATTTTAAAAAAAACTATTGTATACCATTCATTGTATTTCTGATAGGCATATAGATACTCATTCTGGGGCCACCCACTTACACCACAAGACGGGAGAAGGGATTGGATGCCCAAAAAAAACTTAACGTCATCTGGTGGTGCTATTGATTCAATATTTTTTTTTTTGCTTTCACGTATTCAACGCGATGTTTATTAAATCATTTCGAAAAAAAAACGTTCTATCTTTTAATTGGCATGTTCGTAGACGCTTACTATTATTGTAGGCTGAATGTTTTTATCGGAATAAACTTCTACTTTCTCAACTACTACACAATTAACAGTTACATAAACTGAATAACAATCCCAATTCAATGTGGGCTTTAAAGAGAATACTATAACATTATCATTGTAAACAAATCGTATAATAAATTCCAAATATCTATAAATACGAATTAACAAACTACAATAAAATTATACGTGACAAATATATACCAATTAGAAACCACCAAATAATACCAAAATTACAGTTCTGTTATTTCCATAAAAACTTTTTGTTTGAAGGGATACACCCGGTTTCTGAAAGGCTTGTCAACGCTAAAATTAACTAATCACCTGTTAAATCTCTTGTCAAGTCATCTGATTGGTTGTTGATAATTCAGTCAGATGACTTGACTAGAGATTAAATTGATTTTAACATTGGTCGGCCTTTCGGAAACTGGGTGATAATCTTGTATGGTTATAAAAACAAGCTTGTTTTATAACAGAAACTAGCTTTTGCAGGCAACTTCGTTCGCGTGGAATAGTTTCTAGAGTTCCAAACTATGTCTGTACGAAATTTCACAGAAATCGGTTCGGTAGTTTAGCATGAAGAAAAGACGAGCAGAAAGACTGAGTTACTTTCGAATTTATAATATTAGTTTGGATTTGGATAGTAGCACACAGATATCGGATGTTAAATAGAAAAAAGGACTAACTCATAAAAGAGGATATTCCAAAATTGAACCTTATTACTGAAGCATAATTTTTAAGATTCAAATACCTTATTTTTTGAGTTAGGCCTCTTTTCTGTTTAGCAAACGGTGTTATTTGGGAGAGACCAGGAACAAGAACTATAATAGGTATCGGTTTAGGTGTAATTAAAGGTAATCAATGTTGTTGTGTCTTTTTATATTAAAGAGGTCGTATAAAATACATAAAAAGAATATTAAATTAACTAAAATTCGCGGGTTACTCACGTGTAAATGTTGACGTTGCGCAGCCTACAGTAGGCTGCGCAACGTCGCCGCGTCCGCGCACGCTGCTCATGAGGAAGAACCCCTCTGTGGTTCGAAACTAGTAGAGCTTTTCTCAACATTTACACGTGAGTAACCCGCGAATTTTAGTTAATTTAGTATGTCTCACGATAGTTATTATAAAAACAAAAAGAATATTAAAATTTTATTTATTAGGTAGCTAATAAGATAGAAATACCTGATTGTAAACATTTTACATACAATTTTAAGACAACTTTTAGATAAAAAGACATGTCAAGTTTGTTTAAATCAAGGACTGATTGTTCAATGGTAAGATAAAAGTTACCTGGGGAATAATTATGATGCTGTCGCGTCAGAATGTTTGTATAAGACAGCGACAGCAACAATTTTATTCCTCAGATAACATTTATCCGACTATTGAAAAAACAGCCCTAAGTTGATTACCGAAACCGATAGACTTATCACCGTGGCTTTTCATCAGATCCTGTTGCTAAATATCTGGCGGTAAAGTATATTCGCTAAATACTATCACACGTACGTGTCATAATATAATATTTTGGTACATAGCTAATATGCTTTGCTTTACAATGTGCTTTCATTATTTATATCCTCTTTTAAAGTTTAAAAATGAAAATAAATAGATACAATACGTTTAATTTATTACGGTTATAAGAATTCCGTATAACATTCAGAATTTCCTACAAAAATATTAAACAATACTTCATAATTTAATGCAAATTTATGAATAAAGAGTTTTAAAACAATCATTCACCGAAAACAAAGACATATAATCTTTGACCATTTATAGACTAACAAATTTAGTCTATATCCAGTCTACGTTTCTAGACTAAAGTTGTCTAAATCTAGGAATTAATTACTAAGGTCTTTCATCGTTAATCACACCACAATATTCAAATTATAAAACGATTAACCTGTTACAGTTACAGAACTCCTTTGAGCTATAACAGTGGCAAAGCTGTTGGCTTCTCGACGTCATTCGCTATGTTTATGAGCCCCGGTAGCGGCTCGAAACCACTCGAGAACTCTCGAAAGTGGGCAAGACGCAATTCTTAATAATTTTGCATGTTTGACAAAAGAGATTAAACATGCTATAGTTACCAAAATTATAATAATGGTATAAATAAGACCGTCAGTCTGTTATTACGTACATCAATTCTGTTGTCTATTCTGCGTGTTTCTAGATTGTTCCGTGTTCTCCTTGATGTGTGACTGGGCGAATTTGATCGCGACTCGCATCGCGTCTTGAACTAGTTGCTCGCAGTTTATTAGGCTCACCTATAGGACAAAACATTTTTGACGTTAACTACATTATTTATTTGAAGGGGGCGTCCATAAACTACATGAGGTGTTTTTTTAAATTTTCTGGCGCTCCCTCCCCCCTGGTGAGATGTTGTGATATTTTATTCAACCCCCTTCCCAATCCCCGAATCTAACGTAGTCACGTGAGAGTTTTCAAAATGTGAGTTTCTTACGTAAACGCGTTGGATTGGATTAGTAAATGATCTTAATCGTACTACGATTACGCTTAAGATTAAATCTTAAGCATGTACAATCTGGATTAAATAGACCAAAATAGTATAATTTTTTTTTGTTTCTATCAGAAAAAAAATTGCGTGATATTTGCCGAGACTCGACCCCCTCCCCCCTTAAACACCTTACGTAATTAATGGACGCCCCCTTAAGTGATAAGTAGAAGTTCAACGAGTATGGGACTTCTAATAGTCGACATCTTTAAAAAGATTATCGAATTTTATCATCATTACCAATCACAATAGTTTGTGCTAACTAGAATGAAATATTTCAGTGATTTTTATAAAATTGTTTGAAACAACAGGCCCAATCCTTCCTCCCCCCATCTTTAATCCCCAAAACCTCTAATCTATAGCAACCTTTAGTGCTGCTTATCATCATTCGACGATGACTAGTCTGCTCGTATATCGACCTATACTAAAAAAATTGTATGAATAATGTTACCTTGGAAGGCGTCATGATGGCGTGTGTATGGTCGTGGTCATCCCCCTGTAACGTGGCCCCGAACACTCGCGCCGCGCATCCCAACCATGTCCGCGCCGTGAACGACTGCGTCACCATCTCCTGGATACAATATAACACCATATTTAGAAATGATTATTTCTTATGCGAGTTAAAAACTGGAAATTAAACCTTAGTCTTTCTATGCCAGGGTTCAAAATAAAAAAATCGATATCGAATATAGATTCTTGAGTTTATAGAATTTAGCAAATATTTGAAAACAAATAACTGCTGTGCTCTATGTGATCAAAAGTCAACATCACCATCATCATCAGCTTATTTTCGTCTACTGCTGGACATACGTCTCTCCAATTTCACGCCACTTAGCTTGATGTTCGGAACTAAAAGTCGCTTAAGAGTAGGATAATAGCCTTAAGGGAGAGTTTGGCAGTGCCAAAAAATCATACATACAATCGCTAGATTGCGTGTACTTGGAGTGTGAACTTAGTTTGCTTGCCGAGTTTGTTGAAAAAAAGTGTTAAAATATATAATTAAATAGACTGACGGGTGGCACGGAGCAGGCGGCGACGAGTACCCCGCCGGCGCAGCCGAGCAGCATGGCGGGCAGCGCGCGGCGCGGCGCCAGCGCGGCCTGCGCGGCCGGGCCCGCCATCAGGTACGACACGCGCACGAAGTGCACCACGAACCGGCGGCCCTCGCGCTCCGCCTGCGACACCACCTCCGATATCTCCGTCGACGCCATTGAACTAGGAAATAAAAGAGCATTATTTGTCAATTATTTTCAACACACTTCCTCATATCATATCATCATCATCATTTGACAATGAGAGGGAATTCTTGCTTATTTTGGACCAAAACAAGAAGCTGAAACGTGAAATGGCTCTGTTAAACATTCAACACACAGAAGCCATTGAGGCCCGGGATAGGCTCCAATTCGTTGTGGACGAATTCAAGCAGTGTAGCGAGGAGTATGAAACCACTTTAAATGACAAAACGCTACTAAAACAACAGCTACATGAGGCCAACAGTCAAATTTCTGAACTAGAAATATTAAACTTAAACATCACGGCCGGCTTGAATAATAGTTTATTCAGTGAATTGGTGTCAGCCCAAGCTTCTCAACTACAATATAGTGATGTAAATTTAGATTTAAATCCATTAACTTCAAATCAGACTACAGATAATGATGCATGTCACCCAGTGAAATTTGTTAGTTCTAGTCATAAGAAGCTTAAGAAATACATAAGAATCAGTAAATTTATAACTAAAACAAACAGATTAGTAAAGAGACAAAAGTTCTTCATAAAAAATGTAAAATTAAATAGAGAACGTTTCCAGCTTCTGAAACAACTTAGTTTATACTCATCAAAATTAAATCAAAGTGCTAGGAAATATGAAACTGATACCCAGAGCCTGCAGTCAGAACTAGAACAATTAACATCAAAGTTAGAAATAATGTCTAATAAATATAGTGCTTCAGAAAGGCAGATGAGGGAATACATGTTGGCAATGAATGAGTTGGTAAGCTCGCAGGAGAAACAGTGTGAGAAGTGCACTCCTGATGCTATACTGCCTGCTCTTTCTGTGCCAGCATGTGAGACCACCTTACCTCATGGTAGAGGTTTACTGTTTAATAATTGTAATCCTAGTAATCATAATATTGTCATTTTCAGTGATGAGATTGGAAAGAACTTAGGTTCAATGTTGACAAATGAATTACCTGGACAGTCTACATTTAATCACTGTATGCCCGGCTGTAGTTTTGGTAATATTTTGGATAAAATTAATAAATATAGATTTAATCCAGATTCTACCCTCATTATAATGTGTGGTAACAGAGGTAGTCTTAATAAAAAAAGTTTAATCAATTTCCATAATTCACTTGCCAAACTGAATTTAAAGCAGATAATTATATTTGCATTGCCTTATATAAAATCATTGCCACAGGAAGAAAACAATAGTAGATATAAAATTAATACTACATTGTATAACTTAAGTATTAATACTAATATTCACTTCATAGACACCAACAATTATGTTGGTCTTAATATATATAGGACAAAAGATAGGTACTATCTTTCAAAATATTATTTAAGACAAATAGCAATGTCGCTATCATATTTTTTTAATATATCAGCCAATAACTTGGCTAAACAGGTTACTCCTATTGAGCAACCAAAAATATTGACATTCATAATGAGTCACCTAATACTGACATTCATAATAATTTAAATTATTAAATAAGACAATAGAGACAAACTCTTGCAAATTAAACAGTAATAAGGTTATTAATCTGGTTCACCAAAACATTCAAGGCTTTATGAGTAAAGAATTGGAAATAGAGTTATTTTTAAATTGTAATAATGTGGATATTTTGTGTATTACTGAACATTGGCTAAAACCCCATCAGCTCATGTTCAATTTTGGTAAGCACCAGATTGGTAGCTCGTTCAGCAGAGAAAACGCTATACATGGTGGGTCACTTATACTGATAAGTAACCAGCTCAAATTCAAAGATCGTAAAGATATAGTTAGTTACTCTGTTGAGCGTACTGTTGAAATAGCCTGTGTGGAATTGGAGCGGTTTATTGTATTAAGCGTGTATAGACCACCTTCTGGTTTGTATGACTGTTTTGAAACAGTAATGGATGAAGTTCTAAGTAAACTTACAAATTCAAAGAAATCCATCATTACATGTGGTGATTTTAATATAAATTTATTAGAAAAATGTAGTTTAAGCACAAAAATTGTAAGTTTATTTTCTTCATACAACCTTGCGAATTTGTTTCTGGAGCCAACTAAGATAACACCCACTAGTGCCACTTGCCTGGACAATATTTATACTGACATTGTGCCAGTTAACAAAGAAATAATTTCAGTACTTGATTCCGATCACTGTGGTCAGTTAATTTCTTTAACAAAAGAAATAAATATAGTATCAAAACAATTTATCACAGTTAATCCGAAGACTAAAAGACGCATTGAATTTTTCAAAGCTAAACTCAGCAACAAATTGCCTTTGTTGTTGAATTATAAGAATTCTAGCACTTTATATGATAAGTTTTTTAAAATGTACCTAACAGAGTTTAAGTCTACTTTTTCAGATAAAACTATACCAGCTAATAGCAATGCGTCTTTCGGTGATTGGGCAACCACTGGTATCTATAAGAGTAGAAAGCGCCTCTATGAGCTTTATAATGAGCGGACATATATTAACACTGTTGAATTCAGTGAATATGTAAAAAACTATTCTAAATTATTCAAAAAGGTTTGCTCTATTGCTAAATCATTATTCTTAAGCTCTAAGATAAAGAACAGTACCAATGTTATCAAAGACACTTGGAATATTATCAAAAGTGAGGCAGGAAGGTCTAAAAAGAGAATAAATCAACATAGTCTTGTAATTGATAATAAGTTAATAAAAGCGGATGTAGAAATTGCAACTGCTTTTGAAAATTTCTTTTCCGACATTCCTGTATCCACTACTAAGTCACTGAATTCATCTCCCACTGTTGCAGAGTCTTTACTCAAAAAACATGTTGTAGCTTGCGATTCAGGGTTTTCCTTCGAGCACATAGATAACAAGGAAATTGTTAAAATCTTTAATACTTTGAATAACAAAAAGACTGCAGATCTATGGGGCAATTCTGTGTATATTACAAGCTCTGTAATAACTATTGTAGCACCTGTATTACCTCAAATCTTTAATAACTGTATTGACTGTGGTGTGTTTCCTGATCTTATGAAATGTAGTAAAATAATTCCATTATTTAAATCAGGTAGTACTTCTGACCCCACTAACTTTAGACCTATTTCAGTGCTACCTACGTTCAGTAAAATTTTTGAAAAAATTATTTTAGATCAAATGCAAAGATTTTTTAATAGAAATAAATTATTACATGCGAAACAGTTCGGATTTACAAGGGGTCGTTCAACAACTGATGCCGGTGTTGAACTTCTTAATCACATTTACGACGCGTGGGAGGACTCAAGCGACGCTTTGGGAATATTTTGTGATTTATCCAAGGCGTTCGATTGTGTGCTTCATGATACACTGATCAGGAAGCTATCCCATTACGGAATAAGAGGTGCATCTCTGGACCTTCTTACCTCATACCTGAGTAATAGGGTTCAGAGAGTTGAAGTAAACGCAGTGGTTTCTGCCGGGTCTGTTGTGAAGATGGGTGTTCCGCAGGGTTCTATTCTCGGCCCGTTTTTATTTCTTATCTATATTAATGACTTGCCTTACCTTGTAAGGGATAAACACGAGATAGTGCTGTTTGCTGATGATACCTCACTATTATTCAAACTCAGACGACGACAATTAGTTATTGACAATGTAAACAGTGCTCTCTCAGAAATAGTTCACTGGTTTGGTGTTAATAACTTATTACTAAACGAAACTAAAACTAAATGTATTAAATTCACAACACCAAATGTTAAACAGGTAAAAACCAGTGTGCTTGTCAAGGGCGAGGAGTTGAGTCCTGTAGATACAACTGTCTTTTTAGGTATAACCCTGGACGCTAAGCTCCAGTGGGGCCCTCATATAGATGGCTTGTCGAAGAAGCTCAGTTCTGCAGCATATGCCGTTAAAAAAATTAGAAATTTAACAGATGTAGATACAGCGCGGTTAGTTTATTTTAGTTATTTCCACAGCATCATGTCATACGGTATTTTGTTGTGGGGGAATGCTGCTGACATTCAGTCTATTTTTGTTCTGCAGAAAAGGGCTATTCGATCAATCTATAATCTTAGTCCGAGGCATTCGCTCAGAGAATTATTTAAGGAAACTAAGATAATGACGGTTGCCTCACAATATATTTATGAAAATGTAATTCACGCTCATAAAAACAAAAGCTTATTTAAGAAGCATAGTGATATACATAATATTAACACGAGGGGGAAAAACAAATATGTTGTCCCTGCCTCCAGGCTTCAGAAAATAACTAGTTCGTTTAGATGTCAATGTATACGCTTTTACAATAAAATTCCTAGCGATATTCAAAATTTGAGCCTCAATAAATTTAAAAGTGTAATAAAGGCTAAACTTTGCTGTAAAGCATTTTATAAAATAAAAGACTACTTAGAGGATAGTCAGGCATGGGAATGAGCCGCTGTAATGTCTGCACAGGTCATGTTGACATGTTTGTAACATAAGTTACAATTTTATATACAATTTGACATTACGTTTATTTTTTATTTTTTATACAATGACATAATCACCTATTGTGACATTTTATTTTTTATTTGACATTTTTTTTTTATTTATTTATTGACATTTTTATTATTTTATATTATTGTTAGTGTAAGGACCGTGTGAGACTTGCCGTGCTTTTTGATTACCAGTTATCTGCGTTCTGACAGTTTGAGTACTTGCGAGACCCACCCAAATGTTCTTTAGATCGGTATTGTTCGTCGGACAACTCAGCAGCACTAGCTATACTGGTTGCAAACTGACACTTGCGTGCCTGTCTTCAGAACGGGTCCACTTAAACTGGTGTGGTTCTTTCCTCAAAAGACCACTACAGAATGAACTTGCACGATTCTCTCACATTATGTTATTTTTACATTGTCTGGACTTGAAAAGAGACTGACCTCTGAGTTTGTTTCGGCATTTCTTCTCAGAGTAGTCAGATAGGAAATGCCGGCTTCATCTAGTTTTTCACATATAAATTGACGTGTAAAAGTGCCGTTTTATGGCCTATTTGCAAAAATAAATTCATTGTTTCATTGTTTCATTGTTTCATAAAATGGATCTAATCCCACGGCAATTAGGCATACAATGACACCTATAATCAAACTGTGACTTTTTCACAGCACATCACTTTTTTTATTGATATTTACAACTGAGTACCTAATAGAGTTTTTTAATTATTGGTCGAGTTACGCTTACACTTGCGCTAAAATGATATCCGCGAAAAGCCAAATCTAAACCATGTTGCTGCGCTCTAACAAGGTAGCTTTATGCCTTGTATACCTACCGCCTATAAAACACATTATGGAATGCAAATAAATAAATGATGATGATGATAAATTAATAAACCGAACTAGACTGATGGTAAGCTTTTTGTCGTATGATAGCGAGAGAGATTCCCTGGACTTGTCTTACTAAGGCTGTAAAATAATATAGTTTTAATACTTACTGCAAAGCCAGATCATTTTTATGGACCTCTCGCTTGGAGAAACTGTCCAGTAGGTCCAGACACTTAGCGTATTCTCCATAGGGGGCGCCACTAGTGCCGCAAAGGGAAGACAGTTCATTCCTAATGAGAGAGATCTCCTCCTTCTTCCTGTCAGGGTCTACCAGATCTATAACTTGCTCCAGCTTTTCAGCTCGACAGAACAGTTCGCGAGCCTGTGGGATAAAGAAGTTATTAGGGAAAGAAATGAATTCGATTTTTACACATTGTTATAAAAAAAAATACTTCACAAATTGCATCGTAATAAAAGAGTGAATAGAAATATCGTATATAACAGCACGTTGTCGCAATTTTTAAAGATTTCCTCCTGGTTATCTTATATTTTCTCCTGGGTAATAGTTTATATAAACACCAAGAGTTGTTCTTTTTTAAATTTGATTTCTGATGTTCTTCATTGCGGGATCCAAGACAGACATTCATGTCCCTGGGACGCCTTCAGTGTTTCAATGTTTTCATCTACTTTAGATCCTGGCTTACAGAAAATGCACCGGTCTTGGAAGGTTGTGGAATATAGTCTTAGTAAAATTAACACTCAAAATGAAAGTCAAAGTATTGACGTAGTAACTATAATTCACCTGTTTAGCTTTATCCCCGGTGAGGGCGTGTATACAGGGTGTTTGCCCGCCAGCTCCCTTGACACTAGTCACGCAGAACTCGCCCAGCGCGCCCGTCGTTGGCAAGTGCGTACCGCAACATAGCTCCCTATGATAATAGTACATTTATATAATAATAATATATAATGATAGTTATTGTAGAACTTTCTAATACAAAACTATTTTGTTTCTGTCAGCTAGCTGAAAAATTTTAGACTTTTTGTCCAATCCCAGGGATCGAAACCACCTCGAAGAGCATTCGTTCCCCTTTATTATGGTTTGTCTAATAACTTGGGTCCTTGGTTGCGGAAGAGGAAGTGTCGGACTCTTACTGACTAAAAACCACCCCGTTCCTTCATAGACACAGTCGCACATGAAATCGAAATATTTTCTTTTTTGCATTTTGTAACTAATTATATTTATTTGTATATTTTTGTGTACGAAAACTAATCGTAAGACATTTTAACATCATTCAAAATAATGTCGTAGCGACGCGAACACTGCTTATGAATAAGAGTCCCGTTGTGACTTGAAACTAGTCGAGCTTCTTAATAAACGTTTGCATATTAATAATAATAAAGTTTTTGTCAATTTTATCGAAATCTGTTCACCAACCATGACTTCAAATTGATCCTTTTCTATATAGAAAAACTTCGCTACGTTAAGTGCATAAAAACTATTAAACAAGTAAAAAAAAAGAAATTGGTCGATCCAAATGAAGGAAGAATGCAGAATAACTTACTTGGAAACTAGAGGTGGGAAAGCAGTGACGAGACGGAGTCCTACTTCGGGATAAGTTTCCCCCGGGATAGTCACCACCCCGGGTTCCCGGGACAGCTGAACACTGTCCACGATACGCGTGTCTATAGGCGCGTTGCATTTTATTGATTCCCTGTGTGCGAAAGAGATAGAAAACATGAATAATGTTGTACTGCTTACTCATTTCTTTTATAGGGCAGGTAAATTGACAATTGGGTACTTTCCTTGGTCTAAAATAACTACCCTCAAGACTTTACTATAATTAAATATTAAAAAATAATCGAAATTCATTGTAGGATTTGACGATGTAAATATTTTACATTGTTATTGGTTACATTTTAAGAAAAAAAGTGTGATGTTTGACCCAAAAATATGATGACGTTTGAGTATCGAGTATTCTGTTTGCCATACCGAATTCATAGAACGGTTTCATTTTATGGGGCCTATTTGAGTAGTTGTCAAATACCATATTTCAAGCCTCTTCGTTTTAATGGGATAAGTCGGCAAACTGGTAGATGGGTCACCTGATGGTAAGCGATTGGCGACGCCCATTGACACTTACAAACCAACAACTTTGTTGCCGGCCTTTCGTGAGTTTTTAGTATTTTTGAGGATTGGGGATATGGAGATAGGATTGGGCCTTCACGTTAGTCACGTGGTGAAACGCAACGTAAGCGTTATATCACTCTAGTCAAGCTGACCCACAATAAGTACTTAGAAAACATAAAAATTGCTGTACAAAAACCCTTGCTGTTACAAGATTGATTAATATACAAGTGCGGGAACGCCATGGTACAAATGTCGGCTCGATCGGAGTGAAACCACGGTCTCAAAGAAAACCGGCGTGAAGCAACACTTACGTTGTGTTTCGTCGTGTGAGAGATGTTACCAGAAGCCAAATCCTTTTGTCACCCCCATCCTCAATCCTCAAATCCCCTATCAAGAGGGCCGCAACATTCTTGTAGTATCTCCATTGATATTACGAGTGTCCACGGACGGCGCTGGTTGCTTACCATCAGGTAATAAGTCATATCCCGTACTATTACATAAAAAAATCTATACTTATGACAGGCAGTAGGCATCTGTAAAATTATCGACATAGTGATCAAACTCACCTAATAAGATCTTGTACATCCATCATCACTTTATGCGACAGCTTCTCTCCATAAACAGACAGATTGAGGGATAATCCGTTCTCCGTCACACTGGATCCAGTAGGGCAGATCGCACTCTTCGACAGAACCCTTCGAACCGCAGCATTTAGCAGATGGACTCCAGTGTGATTCTGCATCAGCTTCAGACGCCGTTCTTCATCAATCTCCAATTCCACATCCATATCACAGTGCACACAATTCGTTTTTTTCTCATTCGTTAACAAAAAATGACCCTTATGGAACACAAAGTCTTGTAACTTAAAAACACTGTCCACCTCCATAACCATGTTTTGGTTAAAATAGATGGCGCCTCTGTCAGCTTCCTGACCCCCTTCTTCACAGTAAAAGTTCGTGTCTTTGGTCACTATGTAATAAGGTCGGTCGCTGCAAGGGTCCAAGAAATCGATCCAATCTAGATCCTCATTCAAAATGCCTATTATCTTCGTTTTTAAAGTTTTGAATTCTATTTTTTGTTCTTTTTGTATGTAATCGTATTTCGGTTGGTCGTTTGTGTTGACGTAGCCGTTGCTTCGAAGGTTTTTTAGGGCTTCGTCGAATAACTGGCCCCTGTTATCTTGCTCTTTGATAGCGGTCTTGTGTCTCGCCTTATGTTTCGCCAAGAGTGACCAGAAACCTTTGTTGTCAATACTCAATTTGTTCAGGTCGGCTATGCGTTTGATCAAGTCTTCTTGTAAGCCGTGCGTATCGTACAATTTGAAGACTAAATCCCCTGGTATTTCGGTCGATTTTTGTTTGGCCATTGTCTGTGAAAGATAAAGGATAGAAATAATTATAAATCAATATGTTGTATTATTCCTTTGATTTTTATGGCATATGGAAACAAATAAGTTAATAGATGACAAGTAATATAGTATGATGGTAAGTAATCAGTACCGCCAATGGACACTTATAGACCTATGAAGTTTCAAGTGCGTTGCCGGTTTGGAGGTTCAGATTCGAGTAATGTATTTCCACGATAAAAAAACAACGCAAGCGTAATTTTTCTCTGATTTCTTTTAACTGTGATATCCCTTTACTCAAGCATAGTCCTCCCATTTTTTTTAAATCATGATTTGAATGTTAATATGTATTTTAATAAATACCTCTTTAAGCTCCTTATATCCTTGCACAAACCCTGGCAGTTCCACATCACTCAAGGTTTCCACCTCAGGGTACTGTTTCACCAGATCCCTCATCTTCTTCTTCAGTCCAGACCTCATCTTTGCATACCCTTGCTCCTCATGGTCTATGATCAGCTTAGCGTCGATTTCCTTTGTCACTAACTCCGGGTATGTCGTGCCCAGGGTCTCAACAACCTCATCATATAGGATCCTGGGCAGTTTGGGGTTTTGAAATACATCGGTCGATATTTTGAACGATTTCCTCATTATTTGTTTTAAGTTTAAGCTAAAAAAAGAGAAAAAATTATAACATTTTTTTATTACATTCTAGATATTAATTGTGAAGGTCGAGTTGACTCAAATGCTAATGTTTAGAATGTTGAAAACAAATTAAAAAGTTGGATTTACTTCAGCCAGATAAAAATGGGAATTTTGAGAAATTTATAACTTATAAATCCTAACCTATTAGCAGGATGGAATCCCGCATGAAACCATATGATGAAAAAACTAATATTGATATGAATAAGGACAAAGTACAAGTAGCTTACGATTTAAAAAACACAAGCTGCCATTTTGAGAATCAAGGTCTTACCTAGTAGCTGGAAAGACTCCATCAGCAAGACAGACGCCGATCATCCTAGCATGGTCTGCCAGTCTTCGGTAGGCAGCGTCCAGTACTGCATCAGGAGCGTAGCTACCACCGTACGGAGACACTCCTTTACTGTTCTGGAGAACGGAATATTAAGGTTGATAGTTCAATAGAGAAAATATTTAATAGTAACCTTATCCTTAGGGATATAGGGTTCAAATTCACATGTTTTCTCTACATGTTGCTTTTCTTTTTTTTTATATTTATTTATATCAAAAAACTAGATAATCAATGCAACATGAATCTTAACTCTAGCGGTATAGGGATGAAAATCCCTTCGCCTTCGCTAGAGCCTTGTGGTAAAAACTTTTTTGTAGAATTAACTTCTTGTAGAACTACCTACTAATAAAATATGCAATGTTAAGTGAAACTTATAGCTAAAAAAATAAAGTTGAAAATTACATACCTTCTCAATAGCTTTGATGAGCGGCTGGAATAAGTCTGTGTCGTAATTAGAAGGAACTCCTTGCAGGATGGCGGCCATACGTTCTAGACCCATGCCGGTATCGACGTGGTACTTCGCCAAACTATTCACTTTGCCGTTGTCATCTCTATAAAAGAAAAAAGATAAAAATATTAAAGCCATTTACTTTATTTAGCTCCTGTTTCATAGCATTTGTATCAGTTGCCGGACTGGGCTAGGTACTAAGCTATTGAGCATCATGTCGTGGGTTAAATTCCCGCGTTTTTATTTAAATTTAAACCATTCCATTCAGAAAGCACGTAGAGCCATTGGTTCTGCGTCTGACCTCTGAGTTTGTATTGGCATTTCTTCTCAGACTAGTCAGATAGGAAATGCCGGCTTCATCTAGTTTTCTTACATATAATTTTGACGTGTAAAAGTGCTGTTTTATGGTCGATTTACAAAAATAAATTTATTGTTTCATTGTGACCTCCTTTCAGTTGGCCTTATGGTTGCATATCTTACTGTAGGTTGGTTTTCTTAGTGACTACAAAATGTTCCAGGCTAATTTTATTGCCGTCCTCCACACTATCTAAAGAGGTTTTTAAGGAAAGTTTTAATGTATAATTGAGTTTAGTTTCAACTTTATACTGTATCAATCTGTTATTGCTGACTGTGTCTATGAAAAAGTCACAAATTCAATCATTACATTGAGGAAAAGACGGAAACTATACCTTATAACAGAATGCTAGTTTTCCTAAACTCACCTGAAAGAATTTATAAAGACAAGGTTCCAGATTTCAGTGAGTGATCCGTCTGGATTTACAAAGTGTATCTCGGTGCATGGTCCGCATGGTCCCGTTGTGCCCATCTCCCAGAAGTTGTCTCTGGCACCTCTTGCCATTAGCCGACTATCTGCTACACTGGAAAAGAAAGAACAAAAGACTTTATATCACTGTAAACTTCTTTTTTAATATATTTGAGTTTTCAATTTGTAAGACAAAGTACTTGATATGTATATGAAGGCATCTTTAGTAAGGTTACTGGATCAGGTAACATAAACAAATATATGTTTTATTTAGTTTTTGTTGTCATAAAGCATAGACAAGATTCTGAAATGTATCTCTTAAATTTATCCCTTATAATCTCTAATCTTTATATATGAAATAGTTTGGGACAGAGGGTGCTACTTTTACATCACAGATTTATTTCATAATATTTGATTGCTAATAAGCCTGTGTGTTAATGTAGTAGACTACAATCTATCTGCATGCCAATTTTAATACAGATCCATTCAGTAGTTTTTAAGTGTAAGGTTAACAGATCCTCAAAAAGCTTGCCAACTTTTGCATTTCTAATAATAGTAGGATTTCTATTAGCACATGCTATAACTTACCCAATTTTTCTCCAGATATCCCTGCAATCTGTGTCCATCTTTTGTCCTATTGCTACATCTCCGGAGAAGTATGTGACCACCAAGTTTTCTGGTTTCAATCCATATGGTCCCAACAACAGTTGCCATGCCATCTCACAGGCTTCTTTCTGTAAAATGTTGTTTACAGGTTTTTTGTAAAGAGGTTGTTTATGTTTATAGTTATTTACAACTTATCAAATAATAAGGCTCTCACTAGTTGGTTAGGTAATAAAAAAAAAACTAGAATAAACAATAATAGAACTTGTTAAGTTCAGAATTTTAGGTGCCTGAACTAGGTCATCCTGTTTAAAAATTAGTCTACATTGTTAACACAATAATAAGAATATATTTTTTAAGTAAAGGAAAGAATGTTTGTGTTTGAATTAGCAAGTTAATGCACCATGCATTTGTATAAAATATTGTTGTGAAAATAAACTAGTTTTTATTATTATTAATTGATTAAAACATCATCACTACAGTTGTTTTGTAACTAACAATAAGTTTTCTACTAAGATAAAATGTTTTTGTTGATTTAATTGAATGTTACAGACTCAATAATTTCAAGTTATTTAGACTTACCTTATAATAATCTCCGAATGACCAATTGCCAAGCATCTCAAAGAAGGTGTGATGGTGACCATCAGTGCCAACTACATCCAGATCATTGTGCTTCCCACCTACCCTCACACATTTTTGCGAGTTCACAGCTCTAGCACAAGGGGGAGCCACTTTGCCAAGGAACACTCCTTTGAACTGAAATAAGAAGCTAACTAGAATCAGTTACAGAATTTGTTATGAAACAAAAAAAAAACTGTGTCCTTTCTCATGTTTATGTTACATTTTCTAATAAAAATTCAGAGGATAGATGGTCAGTGGGTAGTGGCATTCAAAAATGACTTAGGGTTCTAAGTCATTTTTCAAAAATCACTTAGGGTTCTAAGTCATTTTTGAATGCCATAACATAATGCAGGAGAATGCTAAGAGCTGGATTGCAAAAACCTCTACCTTATTATTGTGGTTTGTCAGTAAATTGATAGGTAAACAATAAACAATTACATGCAGTAGTGTTTCTACTCAATTTGCTGTTTCCAATTTTCTTTAGGAAGCTTATAGAACGAGATGGCGAGTATATTACTGTTGTACGAGTATATTGTATTGGATATACCTGATTCATGCCAGCATTGACGAAGGGCACGGTGGGATCGTACAGCGGGACAACAGAGCTCGATTTAACATGTTTGTGCCCATGATTTACTTCAAAATATTCTATAAAAGAACTCCTTATGGAACAACTCGAATGTTTCTGTCGAACCAAGAGCCGCTGCAAGCTAATTCCACTTTTAACCGGTACACGATACATTTTAGGTTATAGAGTGGTTTTAACCACTCTTATTAGATTGCCGATTTCTTCAACACTATTTATGTTACTTTTGCCCTCGAATATTTTATAAATACAAAGTTTTGTGGTTATTGTCAAAATTTTCGTAATTTTCGGCAAAGTCGGTGTTTCTAACTGTCATTCAGATAAAAGTCAACGTCAAAATCTGAAATACTAGACTTGAAAGATTTGAATGCCTGGCACATAAATGATTAGGTACATAATTCACTATTTTGTTTAATCGTATGTTATATATTTCTTAGATTATTAACACAATTGCATATTGAAATCTTTTATAAGTGTCAGTTTTATATTTGAAAATACCCATATCCAGGTAGCCCTTTTAACCTCAATTTGATGGGAGGCATGGTCTGTCATTTGTCATTTAAGAAATCACTGTCAGCTGTTTCTCTATATAGTTTGTCAAAGTTCAAGGTTATACCGCTGTAAACAAATAGACGATTATACTTTATACAAAAAATAGTAAAGCCCCGAAAGATGAACATCATCCATCATATATGTGCGTTCACCAGACCCAAAAACAACAGAACTACGTTTTTAAAATATATTATATAAGTCCTATTGTTATGTTTGAGTAATTTATTTTTCAAAAACCTTTTAACATTCGTCTAACTTAAATAATGCTTCACTTGGAAGTGTATCTCTTGAGCCTGTGCCTGTTGTTGTCATCTAGTAACTTTCTAAGCCCTGAGGCTGAGGCTATGAAGATAACGGGGCGAAATACGGGACAGGAAAGTGAGAATGATGACTTGGACACTAAACATATAGATACTATGTACAACACGATAGAGATATTCGAGGAGTATACTCAATTTCTGAGAAATAATCAAGATCTTCCCGAACATAGTAAGTTTGCACAAAATAATATACAGAAAAAGTATTTATTTGCAAGTATGAAAGTCTTCTAATTTCAAATCCACTTAATTTTTTATATAACTTCACACTAAAATTCTTCTCTGTGTCGTAACGTACCTAAGGCGTTAGTGCGTGAACAAACATACAATTTTACATAAAAATCACACACCCACCATAGTTAAAATACTGAGATAAATAATTTATAATAAAACAAAATACAATTAATAAATTATTTAATAAAATTTTAGGTAGCTAACTATTAAAATATTGTTTGTTTGCTATTTACAGATAATTATTTAGATAAGGTGGAATACATTCTCACATCATTGAAGAAAGGCCTTCTAAGACACACATTGACAGCAACATGCCAAACAGAAGGAGACATTCAGGTTAAGGCTCAACTCAGAGCAGACTCTGACTAAATCAACCCCAGTTTTTAGGCAATAAGAGTATATCATTCTATCTTGCCCCACCCAGGATGGCAAGTCATTGGATAATTACTACCTCTTAAAATAACTTCAAGTTTAATATGAAAAGTATAAAGTAGTTCAGTCATGATTTGAAAAATTCTTCAGCTTTCATTATCATAGTAATTATTATAATATTTCTTCTCCTTCAGAAATTTAACAAAGTCATTCAAGATGTAATGGATATTCTACCACCTTTGGTTCAGGAAAAAGAACCTGAACTATCACCAGAGCTAAAAGAAGGTAAGTCATACCATCCTGAGACCTTTTTATCCTTGCTTTTATTGTTCCTTTACATCGATCACTAATAAAGAACTAGATACACAATCCCATACAAAAGTTCGCTTCAAAACTGTCGCCAACTGTATTTAGGTACTTATACTTGAAATAAACATGCATTAATGTAAATTAAACCTTAAATGCAACTCATAGAGTTGTTTTTACAAAGTGATGTACAAAATCTTAATACTTTTTGCGACCGAAGCTCTTGACAAACACAAATCATAAGAAATTGAACCATATTCGCATGTTTTTAAGTCGAATTTACAAAGTGTCAAAAATAAGCAATAAAATTTAACGACTTCGGCTCACCGCTAGGACAAAGAATGATTGGAGTCGAAACGTCTCGTAAGAAATATATTTCTTTCGTATTTTATAATTTATCAAAAAAGAAAATACGCAAATTAAAACGCATTACTTATAGTATTCTTTTCTATAGGTTTGTTCATTTATTTACCAATAAAACTAATGCATATAGTTATAATTCTTTTTTATTATTTTCGTCCTCCTTAATCCTTTCTATTCGAAGTCAAATAAAAAAGATGTAAAATAATAAAAAAGAATATATATCTAAAGTAAGTACTGAAAATGTTGGCGTTATTGTTGTCAATTTTTCATATCGAACGGGTCTTGATGAAAGCTAAAAAAAAATTTCTTTACTGCAGTTAAAATTAAATCCATTATATCTGCCTATTCCATATTTTAATAAACACAGTAAATAAGTATAATATTAAATAAAAACTATTTTTTAATAAAAAAAAACAATAAATAAAATTAGAAACAATAGCGTCTCCGCTAAACGGAACAGAATCAATCCACGTAAACCGAACAACTTAAGTGGTCCTGCTAGAGAATGATTTTACGTTTAGTATAAGTGTCTTTATAAACTGTGTGCATTATAACCCCGGTTTTTGAATACGATTTCATTTGGAAAAAGTTTTTAAATTGATTTCTTAATAAAATATCAATATTTAAAATAGAATGATGACAATTATATAATGATAATATTATTACTTAACGAAAATATGAAATTCCATCTTTTTTTGCGTCTTAGATGTGTGTTTTTTGCAGTTTTTAAACGAGCACTGAGGCGTGTTTACCGTCGGAGCATTCGAGTGGTACTAAACTAAAACTACACCGCGATGTTGAGTTCGGTGGACTTTCAGTTAGGACATTTTTTTGTCACTGATTGTGTATCTAGTTCTTTATTAGTGATCGATGTTCCTTTACCAATATACGGTAGTTTCCAACTAGTCAAATTAAATACTTTTATCCAAATGTCAAAAACAATACTTTTCTATAAAAAACTAGTGGCTCGCTCCCGCTTCGCACGGGTCCAAGTATCTCGCTATCAAAGGGTCACTTTTTCCCAATTTCCCCTCTATTGTTCTAATATTTTCTTTAATAAGAACCTTCTCCTGAGTACAACAAACATCAAAAAAAAAAATTGCTAAATCGGTCCTGTCGTTGTTGAGTTATGCCCTTACCAACACATTTTGCGATCCATTTTATATTTAAATATATAGATGTATGAAACACTGAGTTATGACGTCATAGTTTTTGAGCGTCAAATAGCGTACTTATTTCGTAAAAATTTGCAAAAAAAACTAAAATTTAGCGTATCGATCGATCGACGAATAAAAGTATAGTTATTTTTCAATATTTTATTATATTGAAACATCGAATTAATTTATTGATGACCTAGGAAACTACTCAATTGCAGAAAAACTCAATACACAATATAAATTCATCATGGCTGTCTGTTTTAAAGTAAACATCTGATTTAAATTGAATATCAGAAGGACTTATAAAAACTGTTCTATAATGTTTAGCTAAACAAAAGACTTATAAAAACTATTTTTGCTTAGCTAAAGGCCTGTATGATGCGGCATTGCTGACACTGAATAGACGGACTCCTGACTTATACAGAGTTGTGTATAAGGTCCGGTTACCTAGGGACATTATAGAATATATCCTGGCTAAGATGAAGTTAGCTTGGTCATATGTGACCGGAGAAGGCCTGGAATGGGAACTGGAAATGATTTTAGCTGATCTTCACGGCGCCATGCACCAAGTGACGCAAGCTGCGAACATAGGCTACGTTCCTGCTAAAATCAAATTGGCCTGGTCCCTGGTGTTTGGGGAAAACGTAGAAATGGACCTCGAAAAGGCTAAGGATTTATTTGAAGAGCTGGCTACAGATGGAAACGCTGATGGTCATGCTGTGAGTAGAGTATCTTCTACCGAGTACCGACTTCTATTGTCTATTTATGCACTGTGCAGTCAATAGTTAATTTAAATCTAACATTTTTTTTTAGGGCATGGGCTTCCTATACGCGATCGTTATCGCAGTCCCAGTCTCTCAGGCCAAAGCCTTAGTGCATTACACGATGGGCGCGATCGGAGACAGTGACTTCGCACAGATGGCGCTGGCGTACCGATATTGGAGTGGCAACACTGTGCGCATATCTTGTCCGAAGGCTATGGACTTGTACATGAGGGTGGCTTCCAAAGGTCAGAGGAATAAAATATAATGAACAGGACACTAGATTCAATGTTTTTATCGCATAAAACATTATTATGTTTCTCACCTAAGAACTAAAACCTTAGCTATTGAAATACAATTTTTAAGTAACCATAAATCAAAGATCTTATTCATGTTGAGGATCCTAACTGATTCTTACAGCATAACTACTCCAAAAAATAATAACAGGTTGAAGTGTGTGGGATCATGATATGGTGGTGTTTTGTTGGTAGTTATCAGTTACGTGGAAGGCGCTGGTCCAGGCAACATCGACTCCGAGATTTTAGACTCCGACACTACCAGTACTGTGGACTACTACAGACGGATAGCTGAAAAAAGATATCAAGAGAAACAGGCACAGGTATTTCAATTCTTGTCCAAAATGAAAAAGCGTTAGTGTTAATTAGTCCAAAAAGGTTATTTGAGTGTCAACATTTTTATCGTATTTTAATTTCGAGTAGTTGCGCAAAATAATTTGTCACTGCGCAAAACCTCTTGAGCTATTAAACTAGTGAGTAGTAGAAAGTCTAGTTCATTATTTTTGTAATTTTTACGAGGATAAAAACAATAATATATACAAACGATTACAATAAGTTAATTATGTACATTCACTAGGGTCGGGGCGTCCCGAAGGATCCAGAAGCAGCGTTTAAATATTTTACAATGGCAGCCAACCAAGGATGGGCAGAGGGGCAGTTGCAACTTGGGCTTATGTACTTCAGTAAGTACCTAACATTACATTAATAACTTAAAAAATAACCGAATTTTAACCGAACTGATTATTTTAGAAAGTAGGTAACCCTAATTTGAATTTATTTTTATTAATTATTGCTGATACGTGGGTGCCATAATATTTTCGCCAGTGGCCCCTAAGCCAGCGCTGTTTTTAGATAATATGTTCATATTGTAATTGTAGATGGTATCGGCGTCCGCCGAGACTTCGAGCAGGCCCACAAGTACTTCTCCCTGGCGTCGCAAACGGGACACGTACTGGCACTATACCATCTTGGACTGATGCATGCTCAGGGGCTTGGGGTGACACACTCCTGTTTGGATGCTGTTATGGTCAGTGGCTACTTAACATAAGCTCAACCCAAGAGATACCTTATAAGATCTCACCAAAAACTGGCATGAAAAAATCAAGCGTAGTTTTTCGACATGTATGTGTGGTTAGCGGAGGCCCAATCCTCCCCAAAAACTCCATCTTCAAATCCCAAAAGTACTCTTATAGTTTCTTTGGTGATGTGGGTCTGTAGGGGTGTCTATAGGAAGTGTTTGTTATTTATTATCAAGTGATTCAAAAGCCATTCTATCCCTTATAGTAAAAAATCTAAAAGATGAAAAAAAATGCGAGTCATTATGGAAGACGAAACCTAACGTATACGTAAACGTATTTATCAATTGCTAGAAAATCGCCATGGAGCCAGAGCCGAGGGCTCGAATCCTGCATCTCTCATTTGTTTACATAAAAAATATTCATGATCTAATATATAAAAGAAAGTCGTGTTAGTTACTCGACTTATAACTCAAGAACGGCTGAACCGATTTAACTGAAAATTGGCAGGGAGTAGATAGAGTAGGTAGGTGGTAGAATAGGGTAGGTAGAGTAGGGTAGGTAGTCAAATGACGGGAGCGACACCGCGGGTAAAAGAGCTTGTATTTTTATTAATACTTTTCACATGTAATTTCTTTTCCGATCAACAAACCGTGGCAGTCCATTGGGCAACTACGCCCCCTCCCCCCCTCTACTTGAGTGGGTTTCGCCATAATATTCGCCAGAACAGTTTAAAAAGTTTATCAAAGACCCTTTGAGATATGGAGTCCCTTAGTCGACTATTATGACAACGGCGTGAATACAGGGGCAGTGAAAAACACACTTTGGCGTCAGGACACGACACAAATCTTTTATTTTATCTTTTTATTCAGCTTATAAACATATAAATTACATTTTAAAAAAATAAAAATATAAAAAATAGTGTCAGGGCTCCAGAGAAAGGAACCTCCTGACAATACGAGCCGTGTCCAGGAGTACCACTTTCTGAATCAAGCCCTTGATCCTGCCACCTAACGAGAGCCTCCTAAGATGCTGGTCGAGGCTCTTGGCTATTAAGCCATTGGCTGACACGACTATCGGTACAATGATAGCTGAATCCACTTCCCACATGTCGACAATTATTTTATTATTATTATATTTATTTATTATATGATTTTTATTAAATATTGTAACAGCTATTCAGGAACGTGTCAGAGCGAGGTCCTTGGGCCACTCGTATGGTAGATGCACACGAGAGTGTGTACCCGCGGGGCGTAGACTCCGCCATACTGCAGCACCTGGCGCTGGCTGAGCGAGGATACAGCTCCCAACAGAGGATAGCAGCCGTCTTGCTCGACACGAGTACGTACCATTTTTGCAATTATGTTATATTTAATAGACTAATGAGTTTTACCTAATTACTTTTATTTTATAGGTAAGTAGTTGTGCAAGTATATTATAATAACTAAATCAATAAAAGAAAGAGAGATGTTTTTGTTTTTTTATTATTCATCATTATAATCAGGCCTGTTCTCACACGGACAAGGTTTAAGCATGAGTAACCATTCTTGATCTAGGTGATTCCAAACTTATACTAAGAAATTATAAGTCCAGGTTTTCTCACGATGTTTTCCTCCACTTGTCAGTAGTCAAAAGTTACATTGGTAGTTGCTAGGTTTCAGATCCCTCATGCATGAAAATCTGGATCCGTAACCTACGGGCCACCACTACCATTTTTTTCTGTTGATTGAAGTGTCGAAATAATGATACAACTGCTTCAGGGTTAATCTTACACTTCCTAAGTGCTGGGTTTTGGTTTTCTCCAGGTAATCACCGCTTGTCGAAAGGACCAGAATTAAAAGCGCTCTACCAACAGCTGCGGACGCGAAGTAAGGTGCCACGCCAGGAACAGTCCGTCCACCCATATAACAGGTAATATCGTAAATAAATATATTTTTTACGTTTGGATTTTTATGATGAGTTAGACGTAGAGAGTAGAGACGTTTACAAGAATGAGACGTCGATAGGTCGCTTTGTTAGTAAAATTAAATTTACAAAGTTTTGTTTAAAAAAAAAAGTTGCCCCACACTAGGGCTTTTTCCTGTGTCATTAGTGCGTTTACAAACATACAATTTCACTTACACACCACACTCAGACCCTCAATAATAATTCATGGATCACACAAAGAGCTGTTCTGTGCGGGAATCGAACTTGCGATACGTTGCGACCACCACGCTAACCGTGCAGTCAGTGTCATCATCATCATCATCATCATCATCAGCCTGCTTTCGTCCACTAGGCCTTTCTAATTGAACGCCATTGAACTCGATGTTCGGATATTTGCAGTCCACCTAGCTGGATGGCGGCTTACGTTACGTTTACCTAGACGTGGTCTCCACTCCAGAACATGTCTATCACGACGGTCATCGGTTCCTCGTCAGTTTAAATTTTAAAACTTTCCCGACCAAAGATACCCCTTGTTGTGCCAAAATAAAATTTATTTCATCGAAAGTAAATTTTAATATGAGTAGTTAGCTAAAATCGGTAATCACTTGATTATTAATCTATTTATAATAATGTTGCCTAACCGTTTTTTTTTTTTGCTGATGGCAATTTTGCTGTTCTGTATATGTAATAGCTTTTGTTATTTCTTTCAGATTATCGAGGGATGACTCCATTTATTCGTGTAGAGCAGAGAAGGAATTAATTTATGCGGAATCTCGGGTTTAGTTTTACTACAAACTGAAAAAATATGGAACTGTCTTGGTTATTATTGTATTACAAATTACATAAAACACCCTTTCGTTTTAATTAATACCTATATATTTCCTTTAGGTGCGTGATCAAAATAAATCCCTTCTTTCTCTTTCCTCAGTCTCACTGCAGTTGGGGAACGAAAAGCCTTAAGTTTTATTCTACTTCTTAAATCTCTTTAGATTGTTCTCTGTGCACTGCTGTGCGATTTTCGCGAAACTTTTTGGCGGTTGTATGGCAAAACTTTGGAACAATCTTTCAGTGGCGGCTAAACCTTCGATTGGTACGGCAATCAAACCTTCAAAAAAAGGTTAAAGGTGTCCTTAAAGAGGATCTTATATCGGCAAAGTGCCGTCGACGCCTCGGGTATTGCGGGTATCCATGGCCGGCGCTGATCACTTAACATCATGTGATCCGTCGTCTCGATTGCACGCAATTTAACACAAGAAACGGCGAACAGCATGTTAAGTAACAGCAAACCACTCTTAATGCCTCGGTCTTAAATAGGCTTTGCTGTTGAACCTTGGTTTGGTAAGTACCTGGGAAAAAATATATATTCTGCGGATTGGACAAAAATGGAATCGCATAGGTCCATAAGTCCATAAGTGTCATAGGTGAATAGGTCTTCAAAAATGATGTTGATACTCTCATTTCCTGTGATATCACGTCACCCCTTCCTTTTAATTACTCCATTCCTTTTCTTCAATATTTTGATGTAACGATTCATTATATGAATAAAGTGGATAATTCTGCGTGTATTCAAAATATAAAAAGTTGATTAATGTCAATTTTTCTGAAATTTGCCTATGACAAGAGTATTTTGACAGCTGACAGGCGATGGTCGAGAAAATGCACTAATCGAGAAAAAAAATAGCGAAATAAATTATTTAATTAACAAATTACCTATTAAACTTATACTACGAAATAGTTTGGAAGTACACGTGTACGATTTCCAGTGGTGTTAATTGTTCGCTGTCTGTCATCACAAAACAGTGTTTGGTTTTACTAAAATATTTTTGCTTTAGGGACACGTAAGTCTTTTGGTTCGATGCGTTACATTAAATTGTGAAAATGACGCGTTTGGAACTGTATATTTTGTGCCTGTGTGTTGTGTTATCGGCTAGTGAATTGTTAGGACCTGAGGCCCGTAAAAAAAGCGAGAAAAATGAAGAGGAAGATGAGGGAAGTGAGAGTTCAGATACAAAATTCAATTCGGTTGATGCAGACTACTTCAAACAGCTGAAAGATGCTATGAAGAAGGAAGAGATAGTGCTGCAGGAGTACGCTGATGCTATAAGGAATTCCAGAGATATTCCTAAAGATGAAGAGCATAAAGGTTAGTTAGCAGAAAGCTTTTACAAACTGTGCCCTTATTCTTAAACTAGTTAATTGCTAGTCTCCATTCTGATAGCCTTCTAATTAGCATTCTGATTGCAGTAGTACTTGTTCAATTAGACATGTTTGTCAAAAAGAATATATCTCTCATTATTAAAAAAAAAAACTAACAGGAGAAGTTAAGTTGGTCTTTTTGTTACCACTTAGTATTTAATAAAACCAACAATAGTAGTATTGCTTTTTGCTATATATAATGTACATTTCAGAGTTTATCCCTCGTAAATAAATGTAAAATCTAAAGAGTTTGTTAATATTTTACTTGATAATGACAAATAAAGAAAAAATATTCCAAATAATTCTAGGGATAATAAAATGCATAAAACAACATTGTCTACATTTGACTCATTATTTATGGCTTGTTTCTGCCAGTGGCTTAAGCATGCATGCAGAAAATCTATTATTACATGCTCTACCTAATCAAACTCTGTGCCAATTTTTATCAAATAATTCATTCAGTAATATTTCCTTGAATGTTTCTTTAGACACACATCCAGCCTTACTAACAAGCTTCTTCATTTGAATTTCATAAGTTTTTTTAACCATTTTCTCAAACAAGGTGTATTGTGGGTGCATTTACGAACATACACATTACACTCAGACCGGAAAACAATGACTTACCATCATGACATATTACTGCATAGTGGGCAGTGTTTGCGCAACTAGCTGCTATGCAATATATACCAGGTTCAATCCCCTTTATAATAACACTTTGTGCGTCTATAATTTTTTGTATCGGCTCTGGGTATAAAGTGTCTGTTAATTTGGTTTTTTTGCAAATGCACCCACAACATGAGAGTAGAATTTTAGAGTGGGTTAAATTGTTGTTAAAAAAACAAGTCAAACAAACAAGAAGGATGCATTGTAAAAATCACATGTAATAGTGTTACACTGAATTTCTATATTAAGGTAACTGTTGTTATAATTATATTTTGAATTTTGGAAATATGATTGTTGGTTTGTTCCAGAAACTCATTTAGATCAAATGGAGTATACTCTGAAACTGTTGAAAAAGAGTCTTCTAAGGCACACGGAGTCTGCCTGGATAACTGATCCAAAGTCCACAGAGACTTTAGAGGGTGATATTGAGGTAATTATTGTAACTGGATATTACTGGATTTAGTTTGTCTGTATTTTTAGTTAGCATACAGTTCCGAAAATTCCACCTGGGTTAATCAAGTAATTACCATACTTATATGAGTATTTCTAAGCCACAACACAGATGCACATTTTGTTGTCAGTGCCATAGACAATATTATCATAAATATTATAATTGGTTGTTAACTTAGATTGTTATAATGTATAATCTCTTTATCTTCCTACGTAAAACAATGACGTCCTACATTGTTATATGAATAAGATGCTGTGAAGGCAATACAAGCTTGTTCATGTAATTCTTCGATGACAGCAACTGAAAAATAAAAGAAAAAAACATTTTTTAATTACAAGAAGTTCTAACTGTCATATTGTATGCTTTATTCTTCAGAAATTGGAGGAGAATCCTCAAGATATTCTGGACACACTACCTCCATTACCTGAGGAAGTAGAACCTGAACTGTCACCAGAGTTAAAAGAAGGTATGTCTCACAAATTCACCATCACACATCAAAATTAACCTAATAGTACCTACAACATTTTTAAACTTTCACCCAGTTTTAGAAAGGCTGGTCAATGTTAAAATCAATTTAATCTCTTGTCAAGTCATCTGATTGGTTGACTGAATTATCCTATATACCTATTATATAAATAAATGTTTCTTTCTTTCTTTCTTTCTTTCTTTCTATTTATACACCTAGTTAGTTGATTTTAACATTGATTGAGCTTTCGGAAACCTGTCATTTGTTACTGTTATACTAAGATATTAGAAATTTGGAAAACATCTAAAAATGCAAAATTAAATTAAAGCATCCATCTGAAGCATTGAATTGAGCAAAAAATTTAGTACTTCTTTCGTTTTACAATTTTCACTCTCATATTAAATTTTTACTAAAATGCCACATTTTGAACTAATCAATGTCGCATCTTTTAGGACCATTATACCTACACATTTTCGATATTTTATTATTTTACGACGTATTTCTAAATCTTACAATTTATAATATTTGTAAAATGCTAGTCCTGTTATTAATGTCAATTGATTTATTATCAGTAGTTTATCGCTTTACCTAGTTATCAAAGAAATATTTTTTATAGAATCTAGGTTGAGGCTAGACTTGTTGTTTATGATAAATGGTCGGGATCACGATTTTTGAATAATTGAAATTCTTTTCATTTGGATTGGGTAGTTTTTCTAAGTGGCTTAAAATGCTTCTAGAATTAATTTCTCCATTATGCAATTGTATATATAGAATAAATAAATGAAAAATTATAATCATTATTTCATTGATGAGGAATGATGAATGATTTGACTTATTTTATAGCAAATGTTTCAGAAATATATATGTTACTTGACGTAAAAAACATTATGACATCATATGATACATTTCAACTAAACTATTGAATTTTTCTAGTATTATCATTACTGCATATAGTCCACCTTCAAGCACATATAACATAGTCCCACGATAATCAAATAACTATGCGAATGAATTATACTATGTTCCTTTATCTCTGTCCTTAGCCAAAGAGTTGTATGACGCGGCAATGGTGAAACTAAACAGACGGTCTCCGGACCTTCGCGGAGCCATACTCCAAGTAAAGCAAGCGGCAGATATGGGCTACGTTCCTGCCAAAATTAAGCTGGCCTGGTCATACCTGTTCGGAGAAGGCGTGGAACTGGACCTGGAGAAGGCTAAGAAGATATTCGAGGAGTTGGCTGTAGAAGGAAATGCTGATGCTCATGCTGTGAGTGTTTTGTAAGGGTTTCTTCAAATACCCCATTATCTTTGCAAAAATTGTTAGCCGATTCATATTCAGTGCTGAAAAAAGGCTATAAAGTAGGTAGATTTCATTAGCTACCTTTTCCATATTTCAACTTCAGATTGGATATCAAAGACCAACCTTTATCTTGAATCAATCGCTGCTTTTGACAGAATCTTCATACCAGCGATATCAAAAATCGATCTTAATCCACAGATATTGAGCTTTAGGTTGGTTTAATGCCATCGTTAGACTACGTTTGTAGAGGCACATGGCCAATGACTCATACATAATAAATAAGGTTTTTTTTACTATAGAGAAAAATGGGCATAGTTTTTAAATCCTATATCCTTCTTTCAGGGCATGGGCTTCCTATACGCCACCGGTATCGCAGTCCCGGTGTCCCAGGCTAAAGCCTTAGTGCATTACACGATGGGCGCGCTCGGGGACAGTGACTTCGCACAGATGGCGCTGGCGTACCGATACTGGAGTGGCAACACTGTGCCCAGCTCCTGTCCCAAGGCTATGGACTTGTATATGAAGGTGGCTTCTAAAGGTAGGAAATGGGCTTATTATGAAAATTACAATTTTGTGTTACTGGTAGCTGAAGCCTGGGTTTCAGACAGCTTTTGATTTATATTGTAAAATGTTGTGTGATTACAAAAATAATTTTCATGAGAGCTTACTCGCGTTCCAGAATTTGGAATAGAGATAAAGGTATACATGAACATTGAAAACCTATTTAGTAAGTACGTCAGTTAGATAGCGAAAAATGTTAAACACATGTTTTTTTTATTTTGTCGTATAACACAACACAAATACACAGTTCCTAGGTAAGAAGAATTAAACTTTAGGACTAAGAGACAGCTACGGCACCGCAAAGTATAGTATGTACCGAACCGTGACGTAACGCGATATTTAAAATCAATGTATCATCGAAAGAAATGGATTCCGTAAAAAAGATAAAATACTTGTCCAATGTGTTAAATTAATTTAAAACACTGAAATTTAAAAAAAAACTAGTCGTCGTCTATATGGATTAGGCAAATTTGTAAATACTCGTTAATTTTTTTGGGGAAGTAAATTAATTGTTCTGTTGATAGTTGCGAGTCAGGTGACGTTCAGTGGTGGGCCCGCCATACAGCGAACGCGGCTTATCGACGAGGCGGAGGGCGGAGGCCCGGGGACTCTCGACACTGACCTTATTGAGTACTACCAGCTTTTGGCCGAGAAGGGAGATGTGCAGGCACAGGTAGGAATATGGTAGTAATTTTGATTTTTTTGAAATAATTCGTTCAATCGTTCGTTCGTTAATAAGTTCTTCAATAAAGTGTTTTTAATTTTGAGGACTAAAAACATATACTTACTTTTAAAAAATTGATCAAGTTTGGGATAGCTAAGTTTCTTCACGAATGGCTTTGCTCGACCGGAGTGATACCACGGCCTCACAGAAAACCGGCGTGGAACAACACCGTTGTGTTTCGCCGTGTGAGTGAGGTTACCGGAGGCCCGATCCCTCGGATTCTCCCCATCCTTTCCCAATCCTAAAATATCCGAAATCCTTATCGGCAAAAAGGCGGCAATGCATTCATAACCTTTGATGCTGCAGGGTGATCTTGTGTTTGCTTACTTTTAGCTAATCCGTCTGCTCGTTTGCCGGGTTATCCCATAAAAAGGCGAGTTTTTTATGTATAAAACTGTCATTTTATCTTTCTCCAGGTCGGTTTGGGTCAGCTCCACTTCCAAGGCGGACGCGGCGTGACTCTAGACATCAACAAGGCTCTCCACTACTTCCAACAAGCTGCTAAAACTGGGAACGCTGTCGCTAATGCTTTCCTAGGAAAGGTATGTTTAAATTAGTAACAAAATATATAGTCTTACTTGTTGCGCAAACATATTGACTATTGCGCATTGATCTTGATTGAACTATTTTACAAAATGATTAAGATGTTGCGCAAAACTTTTTTCTTATTTGCGCAAACCTTTTAACTGTTGCGCAAAATATATACTCACCTAATTTCACATTTTATCTCAGATATACTTGGAAGGCGGTGACGGCATCAAGGCGGATAACGATACTGCACTCCGGTACTTCAGGAAAGCCGCGGAACTCAACAATCCCGTCGGACAGAGTGGATTAGGTATCATGTACTTACAGGTAAATAAAATATCTTTAATGTTTGTAGTTTTTTCTTCCTGCCTTTATCTTGAATTATTTGAGAATACAATGCTAATATGAGAAAAAAGAAAAATAATATCAGAAGTTTAACATTATTCTGTTAAAAATCTTTATTTTCATAACAAACTAGAAAATCTTTTGTTTGGTTCTTTTTAAACGAAAACCAAATAATATTATTTTTATTTCGTAGAACGTAAAATAGCTTGTTGAAAAAAACGCCAAAGGTAATATTATTTCCCTTGACATTCTCTTCCATCCATTTTATTTACAATGACCCTCAAATTAACAGGGTCGTGGTGTCCCTAAAGACACGAATGCAGCGTTTAAGTACTTCACGATGGCCGCCAACCAGGGCTGGGTAGAGGGACAACTGCATCTTGGCTTTATGTATTTCGGTGAGTAAATATTATCATTGTTATCCTCATATCACAACAGATATAGGTACTTAGTTATGTGGCTTGATTAGTTTTAGAATGCGTTAGAGGTTTCTAGCTTGTCTCGGCTTAACCACGTTGTCTTTCAACGTCAATAGCTTTTTATACGCATTGCCGGAGGTCCCGCAGGACTGGACTGCGTATTAGAATATGTTATTGGCGACCTTGCTTCCAAGGTAAAGTTAGAAATGAACTCCCGTACAAACCTGTTTGAATGTTTACTACTATAGATAGCTCGCATGAGGGCTCTTGGCCCTTACAATAGAATTTGCTACGAATTTGCCCGCCTTTGCGCTAAAATAATCCACTATAGCTGGTCGCCCTGATAATACAAACTGTGTATACAGTTTTGTTGGACATTTTATACTTTTTATAATGTAAAATGTACCTTCTAAGTAATAATAAATAAATAAATGATGGCTACGGTTTTTGTGTACCAATTTGGAAACTGCCTTCTCGTTATATAGGGAGTTAGATTAGTGTCACACCGTTTGACGATACATTTTTGACAGCTACAGTGATTGGATAAACTGATTTCTTGCCAAACAGCGCCATCTTGTAGTCAAACATTCATACTACTCATTGAGTAGCCGTAAATTGGTATATTATGTTCGTCTTCATAATATTTTTGTTGTATAGGTGGTATCGGCGTCCGCCGCGACTTCAAGCAGGCCAACAAGTACTTCTCCCTGGCGTCGCAGACGGGGCACGTCCTGGCGCTATACCATCTAGGACAGATGCACGCACAGGGACTCGGGGTGCTTCGGTCCTGTACTACTGCTGTCGAGGTAAGGATAACTCTGTTATTTCCATCCTCAAACTGTTTCCAAGTCTACCCACTTTATAAGACTTCTTCCCTGTTATATACCGGTTCTACCATCCACTGAATCATACCTCTACTGGATCAGAATTGTATAGTTAGTATAGTTGCTGACTTTTCCTGGATCCGTAATAACTTTCTGACTACTACTGGATTGCATTCTGCAAAATGTGACTTCTATTGGATTCGAATTCTGCTAAATGTGACTTCCACTGGATTGATTCGAATTCTAAATATTTTGGCTGACTTATACTGTATATAAATTATGTATATTGAATCTTACTGCTATTGGATCCGAAATATAATTAATTAAACTCACCGTCAGTAGCTCCGATTTTTTCTGAATGTGACTTCTGCTGGATCTGATATCTAGTTAACGTGACTTCTATTTGATCCGGATTATACTTTATCTGACATCTTTTGAAACACAATTCTACTGAATCTGACTTGTACAATAATTTTATTCTACTCAATCTGACTTCTACTAAATCCTTACTTCTGTCTTCTGAATACATTGGTATCATTATTCTTCTTTCTTCAGTTACTTTCTTGAATTTTATTGTCATATAAATATACATTCTTGTATTATCTTTTTACTGTATTTAACTCATTAAATAAGATTGTAAATATGTATACCATAATACAGCTATTCAAGAATGTATGCGAGCGCGGTCCATGGGGCGCTCGCCTGATGCTGGCCCACGCGGGCTGGCGGGCGCGGGACTCCGACTCCGCGCTGCTGCAGTACCTGGTACTGGCTGAACGAGGCCTCGAGATCGCACAGACCAATGCAGCATTCTTACTTGATAATGGTATGTTGTTTTTAAATTTATACATAAGTTAATAAGTCAGTTTTTGTGACATTTTTGTATTGTTATGGTGAAGATTCTTGGTCGTTTTCTTCGATCATTATTAGCCTAATGCTTTCGAACGAGTAGCATACATCACTTGAGAAAGAACTATTTTAAAGGTAAAGACAGACTGAATATTCAAACAATAAATATTATCCAGGGATTCATATCATTCCTGGATTCATGTTTGTTCCCTCTTAATCCCCTTAAACCGTATCTTTGAATCCCTAATAACTTAAAAAGGTCGGCGTCATACTTATAACTCCTTTGCCTTGATTGTTTGCTATCGTGTTTCGAGATTTTTCTGTTCGTTTACCAACATGTCCGATAAAAAAGACTATTTCTTTGACTTATTAGAGAAACTAGGGTAATAAAAATTCTATTAGCGAATATTTAAAGTATTTCAGTACCGTTGAAGACAAATTTAAAAAGTTGTTCTCTTCAAATCGATAACTATAAATGAATAATCATAATAATTCCGGCAGGTGAGGTCCGTCTGTTCAGTGAGTCGGAGCGCTGGGCGCGCGCCCTGCAGCTGTGGGGGCGGGGCGCGGCGCAGGGCTCCGGCGCGGCGCGCGTCAAGCTCGGGGACTACCACTACTACGGGCTCGGCACGCCGCAGGACTTGGAGGCCGCCGCATACCATTACAGGTACTGTCCAACTTGTGGAACAGATTCTAAGGGAGGAAAAGCGAATTTTGTTCAAACAGATATAAATCAAATAAGAAATAGAAAATTTGATATGAGTCTAATAAATAGAATGATATGAGTGTAATAAATAGAAGATTTGGTTTAATTTAAAACAGATATAAATGAAGTTTGGAAGGAAGCTAATCTGTTCCGTTACTTATGAGGGGGAAATCGTCCAGTGCCTTTTCCCGTCTGGGCCACCCCAGATGATTTGCGAGAGGGAGTGTCAGACTCTTAATAATTAAAAACCACCCCGTTGCTTGTTCTGTTCCTGCAACTCCGTCGATTACCACGGATCATAAAGTGCGAGTTGATGCTTGTTTGAAACAAAAATTACACATAATGTATGTATTGACGTATACAGGATAGCGTCGGAGCAGCTGCACAACGCGCAAGCGACGTTCAACCTGGGCTACATGCACGAGCGCGGGCTGGGCCTGGCGCAGGACGCGCACCTGGCCAAGCGCTGCTACGACCTGGCGGCCGACGCCTCGCCCGACGCCAGGCTGCCCGCCGCCCTCGCCCTCGCCCGCCTCAACGCCGCCACCGCGCTCACGCAGATACTCGACGTGAGTGCTATACACTACTACCTGACCTGGCGAACTCCGTTCCGCCTCAAATATAACTATTTGTTTTGGACCTTTCCTGGATTTCCACGAATAATTCAAGACCAAAATTAGCCAAATTAGTAAAGGCATTGTTGAGTTATAACATTACAACGAACAGTAGCATTAATTTTTATATACAGGGTGCTGTATATATGCTACTTTACAGGGTGCTGCATATAAAAATAATGCTACTTTTCGTTATAATGTTATAACTCAACAATGCCTTTACCGATTTGGCTAATTTTGGTCCGGTAAAGAACGCATAACCTTAAAATGCGTTTTAGTATATCTTATGGCCATGCACTACTAGCCCGGCTTCGCTCCCATCATTTGACTACCTATAGTGTCTACCTACCTAGTTCTACTCTACCTCTTTTGATAGGGGAAAATCATTGACACATTCTTAGCTACTTCCTCACCAATTTTTAGACAAATCGGTTCAGCTGTTCTTGAGTTATAAAAAATGTAACTAACACGACATTTTTTATATAATAACATATAGCCTATAGCTGGAAAAGAAAATTATATTTGTTTTTTAATACATTTTATCAGTCTTATTGAATCAGGTGTGGCCTTCTTACTCATAAAGACTTTTTGTATCAATTAGTTTATGTAAATGCTAATAAAAAATATGTCAGTCTCACACACTGTTATTGTTTCATACACATTGATTTTTTTCAAAAGTTGCTTGAAAGAGCTTGTGTATTTTATCTGAATAATAATATGTATTAATATAAGTCAAATAAAAATGAGACCAGATTTCCAAATGCCTATTACTGTCAAAATATTTTTTTTAACATCAGCCACTTATTTTATTTCGACATGGCAACACCTCATTTAAATCGATAATCATCAGTCATTCTTTCAGAGTCCGTTGGCAGTCATATTCTTGACGGATTCGGCGCTGCTGTCGAATTGGGACCTGTACCTCATCACGGCACTCCTCGGGGCTCTGGGCGTGGTGGTATACCTGCGAAGACCTACCCAACAACCCGCCAACTAGTCCAGGATAAGAGGATCAAGACTTCTGTGTAAATGAAAAAATAACACGGAACAATTTAATTGATTTTCATAAGTCACTGATGAAAATATAATCTTATATTATCAATTTGTCAATGACTGTGAGGTGTACCCTAATAATTGCAATAATTTAGTGCAATTCAATACAAATAATATTCAAATGTTGTTAGTTTATTGTATTTTCTATTAAGACAAAGTAGTTTTTATAAGTTTTGTGTTATTGCAGTCAAGCTGTTACTACCAAAGATGAATTGAATAGATACAGCTTAACCTTTGCGGTGTAAGATCTCTCAAGTGTTAGCTGAAATTAAATAATAAACTAAATTCACAATACACTGAAATTATCCTAGCTTAATGACCCCTAAAACATCACTAGCGCCACCTATGAAGCGCAAAAATGCGATCCCTAACTAAGATTTTCAATTTCTTTAGCATATACCTAGTATTACTAAGTTCTTAGGTCCTTTTTCATAGGAATGTTCAATAGTAGTGCCTCAATAATTATTGCTTTTTCAACCAATTAAATTGTTTCCTGTAATTGTGAAATGTAAAAGATAATGTGAGTGCAGTGTTGACATGTGATGACAAAGACAGGTGTACATAGTTAATTTGTATTATGTAAATAAAATGTGAAGATGATTTAATTATTATACACTTTGTTTTATTTTATTTTTTGTCAAGATGATGGAACGTATAATCTAGGTTATCTAAAATACAAAGAAATTTAAAGATTCCTTCCTTAGGCCCAATATCCTCCGCCCCTTTCCTAATCCATAAATGGCCGGCAATGTAATTAATTATTAGTATTAGTTAGGTAAAAGTCTCGTAAAAAACAAGGCAACTATAAAATATAAAATCAACTGCTCATAAGCCCATTAGATAACTTTAAGTCAACCATTGAAAAATTGATCTCAATCCACACACGAGATTGATCGCATACCATTATATTAATTTCTATTCCGTCCGTTCAGTCAGATAAAATCAATAAAATGGTTGTTTTATGACACTTTTTTATATGTTAGGATAGGCAAACGATCGTAGAAATCCACTGATGGTAAGCATTCGGCGCTCATGAACACCAGCAAAACTAGTGGAGTTCTGAAGGTAACCTTTTGGAAACAGGAGAAGGATTGGTTCTTTGGTAGGTAACCTCACTTGCACGGCGAAACACCACCGTGGTTGTTTCACGCCGGTGTTAATTGCTCAGTAAATATAAAAATTATATTTACTGAGATTGTTTTGCATTTAATACCCTTGTCTAAAGAGTACAAAAATAAGTATAGGACCATAATTGAACCCTGCAAGGGTTGCCATTTGAAAGAAACTATAATGCAAATAGGTACCAAAATTTAAGCTGGGTTTCATAGTCACGTTCGTAGAAAAAAAAAAGATGTTTTCGCTAAGACCTCTAGTTTTGAGATAATTGTAATTCGAATAAAGTAATCTAATAAATAAATTCTTGTTATTTTCCCCTGACAGGAAAGTGCAAGTTCAAATATGCGACACGGCACCCACAACATTTTGAAGTAAATAAATAAAACAGCTTTTTATACTCATATATTTTATTTCTATTATCTTACGATGTTTCTATAAGATGTTTCTTATTTAAAATTAAAGCTTATAATTACAAAATTAGTTTGCTAATTGCCACTACATCTTAAAATTTACATAAAGACAACGGATGCGATTTCTTCAGTAAGAAACATACACCTTATTACAAAACAAAGTTTTTCTTTTGTTCTAAACCACTGAACCAATTTTTGTTTTTCAAATTAAAGGTAGATAAGAATAAGATTCAAAATACAAAACCTGACTCAAAGGTTTAAACCAAGACTTATAATAAATCTTGTTTTGTAATTAGGGGGATATGGTTGATTGAATGGTTTTTAATGAAACCATTTTTTTTTTTAATGTCGTGGTCGCCCGGAGGTTAAGGAGCCCGCTTCTCATGCTTGAGGGTGTGGGTTCAAAACCTGGCAAGTACCAATGTGACTTTTTCCGAGTTATATCTACTTTCTGATTATTTAGACTGACATGCGGTGAAGGTAAACATCGTGAGGAAACCGCGACTTATAGGACTTATAGGTTTGAAATCGCCAACCCGCATTGATCAAGCGGGCACTTATAGGCTGATGATGATGATACTTTTGAACTTTACCGGGATTATACCAATTAACCATCGATCACTAATAAAGAACTAGATACACAATCCCATACAAAAGTTCGCTTCAAAACTGTCGCCAACTGTATTTAGGTACTTATACTTGAAATAAAAATGCATTAATGTAAATTAAACCTTAAATGCAACTCATAGAGTTGTTTTTACAAAGTGATGTACAAAATCTTAATACTTTTTGCGACCGAAGCTCTTGACAAACACAAATCATAAGAAATTGAACCATATTCGCATGTTTTTAAGTCGAATTTACAAAGTGTCAAAAATAAGCAATAAAATTTAACGACTTCGGCTCACCGCTAGGACAAAGAATGATTGGAGTCGAAATGTCTCATAAGAAATATATTTCTTTCGTATTTTATAATTTATCAAAAAAAGAAAATACGGAAATTAAAACGCATTACTTATAGTATTCTTTTCTATAGGTTTGTTCATTTATTTACCAATGAAACTAATGCATATAGTTATAATTATTTTTTTTTATTTTCGTCCTCCTTAATCCTTTCTATTCGAAGTCAAATAAAAAAGATGTAAAATAATAAAAAGAATATATATCTAAAGTAAGTACTGAAAATGTTGGCGTTATTGTTGCCAATTTTTCATATCGAACGGGTCTTGATGAAAGCTAAAAAAAAATTTCTTTACTGCAGTTAAAATTAAATCCATTACATCTGCCTATTCCATATTTTGTGTTTATAAAAAAAAAAAAACAATAAATAAAATTAGAAACAATAGCGTCTCCACTAAACGGAACAGAATCAATCCACGTAAACCGAACAACTTAAGTGGTCATGCTAGAGAATGATTTTAAGTTTAGTATAAGTGTCTTTATAAACTGTGTGCATTATAACCCCGGTTTTTGAATACGATTTCATTTGGAAAAAGTTTTAAAGTTGATTTCTTAATAAAACATCAATATTTAAAATACAATGATGACATTTATATAATGATAATATTATTACTTAACGAAAATATGAAATTCCATCCTTTTTTGCATCTTAGATGTGTGTGTTTTTGCAGTTTTTTAACGAGCACTGAGGCGTGTTTACCGTCGGAGCATTCGAGTGGTACTAAACTAAAACTACACCGCGATGTTGAGTTTGGTGGACTTTCAGTTGGGACATTTTTTTGCCACCGATTGTGTATCTAGTTCTTTATTAGTGATCGATGCAATTAACCGAGAAAACCATCTCTCACCTTGAGAGCAAACCCGGAAGGGAAGGGCTGCTAAAAGCGATTAGTGATGAGAGAATGGAAGAAGATATAATATGTTGACACAAATAACGAACGATAAAGGCAGAGACAATGTTGAATTCGGAGTAAATGAGTTTAGTTCATCATCATGCCCTTTTCGAGTTGTTCAATCTTCCTCGCGATGTCATCAGCGGAGAACGCGTAGTCCATCGCCACCTCCTGTTTCACGTCCCTGTCTTTTGCACTTTTCTGTTGGGGCGTAAAAATTAAATATTGATTAAGTCGTGTATTCTTATTGTTATAAAAAGGCATTATTCCTATCAAACAGAATAGAACTGACAAAGTTGCTAATACCAAAAACTTAAGTATTGCATGATCGGATATTACGAGGTCTTTGGCATGAAGCGGCTAGCTGGACCGGAATGAAACCATGGCCTTAAAGAAACCTGGGGTAGGTACCTAAATACATGGAATTGCGAAAACAATGCTTAAGTTGTGTTTCATGCTGTGAGCGAAGATACCTCAGTTCCTATTTCCTGCAAATCCAATTTGTAAAGACCCTAACGCACCTTCAACTCTGATGTTACTTACAATGGATACCTGATCCATGAGCAGAGCCGATTGCTTACCATCTGCAAATTAACCTGGTCGTTAGCCACTACATCCTGAGAAACCTTTTTTGCCACGACATACTTTAGCAAGGCTAAGCTGACTCCCATGAGTAGATGCGAGAACGAACCAAAATATTTATTTAAATTCGGCTCTTATTCATTTTTTTATGTAATAGGTCGGCAAAACGAGCATTCGGATTACTCGATGGAAGCCTATGGACACCTGTTGTTGCAACAATATAGCAGTTACGAGTGCGTTGTCGACCTTTTGGGGATTGGGGATTTGAAGAAGGGATTGGGAGAGAGAAAGGAATTGGCCTCCGGTAACCTCACTCAAATGGCGAAATACAACGCCGTGGTTATTTCCCGCCGGTTTTCTGTGAGGCCGTAGTATCAATCCGGTCGAGCCGACCGTTTCGTGCGTTCGATTTTATGGATCGAACAGCATTTGGTCCCTACCTCCTAACACATACACACACAGAACTATATATATAGTACAAGCATAAAGTATAGGCAAAAGGCTCAAAGGTACGATATGTAGGTAAATAGGTACTTAAGTAGACACTTACCCAAAACTGAGCATACTCCGGCGACACGGACTGCAAATAAGCAATCTTATCCTCCATATCCTTTAACCGCTTGTAAATATCTTTGGAGACTGGTCCTATGTTCAGATACTTCTCTATGGCCACCACTCGCTCAGCAATCGATGAAGGTAAGCCAGTCTGGTCGCGTTGTTCTGGGAAGAAGTCCCCCGGAGCCACGGTTTGAGGACCCCATTCGTTGTGGACCTTATGTACTGGGAGATTGAGAGGAAATTAAAATGAAGATATTGTTTTTGCTTAAATTTACATATAATAACATAGCTGTGGGTAGGATTTTAGATTAACATGTAGTGTTCTACACGGAGAAGTTATTTTTCATTTGGTTCTGTTCCAAAGGAGGTGATTTGAATATCAAAATAGAGGCACGAAAGACAGTGCTATTGATAAAAATACTGGCCCATAAATTAAACTCATGTACGGCAAATGATGTCTCCGCAGATAACTAAAATTCAAATCTTTTGAATGAATGAATGAATGAAGATACTTTATGATTCACCATAATAATAAAAAAACATAGGAAACAAAAACACAAAATATAGTACAATTGGCGGTCTTATCGCTTAAAAGCAATTTCTTCCAGACAACCTTTGGATGGAGTTTAACTGTAGAAGAATTTGATACGGGCAGTTTACGGCGTACATATACATTATAATATAAAACATAATTTATCAGCATAGAATAAAATATATGCATGTAAATGTGTCAATGTATCCGTCAATCCCCTAATGATGGTATTTGCTTGATACAAAATATAACAGATAGGTACCTAAGGACCTATGGACAAGTTCGACCAAAAAAAAACAATAATCAAAATGTTCGCAACGAATTGCCAAAAACACTAACCTTTCAAATGCCCTTTAGAGTCTCCCCGCCTGACGAACTGCGTCCGCACTCGTGCGCAAGTCTCAGTTTCCTCAGTATCAGCCTCGTTATTTGGTATAAAGTCGTGAATGTTACTGACATTCACTTGCTCTCTCTTTCTTTCTATAAAGTTCTGTATGCGTTGTTGTAACTCCTCGCACGATACGTTGATTTGAACTAGCGTTTTGTCCACCGGTGGCGCTGGGTTTGGCGCTGGTGTCGGTAATGGCGTTGAATCTACTGTACCTGTTGAAAAGATTTTTTTTTTTAGCATTTAGGCTAAAAATTTTAAGTTTTTTTGTAAATGGTTTGTAGAAGGAATTGTATAGGAATAGTTAATGGTTCATAGATTTACACGTCAATATTAATTCGTTTTATTTTTTTATTGAAAAAAAAAAGTTTTTTTAAACAAATTGATTTCTATTTCAATAGTAATAAGGTTGTTTTTTTCATAGCTTTCACTGTACAGTACCTATGAATAAATTTTGTAATTGTAGCAATGTTATCGTTCATTCTCGTTCCTAGTTTTTTACCTACACAGTAATTATCAGTCGGTATTCGTACAGTTGGGTCGTAAAAATTTATTTTCTATTCAATTTTATAATTTAGGTAGTTCGTTCAGTACCTAGAGATAACGCTTAATGCGTCAGTAATAAAATTATTTTAATATTCATTCAATAGGAATTACCTTCAGTCCACAGAAAAAAAAATTTAAAATAAGACTCATATTCTTATTTTGAACTATCAAACGTTACGCGCAAGTTCAGCTATATTTAGCTTTCAGCTACCATCATATTTCTTTTCTCTTTTATTAGAAAACTTTACCTGACATTAGGATTTTCGTCGGTGTCGTAGGTCCATTTTCAAACAAACAATTTCACATAAGTACCTACAGTTCATACTAGGACCAACAATTTGTGGATCACAAAGAGTTGTTCCGAGCGGAAATGGAAACCAGCGGTACGTTACACAATTCAAAGTCAAATTATTTATTTCATTAAATAATCAAAGGACTTTTGGACGTTAAATAAAGATAAAAATGACAGTCTGTCAGTCAGTTACGACAACTGGAGTTGCCCAGTCACCGCGGCAGCCTGCAATCTATGTTTTATTATATATCTGTAAATTATTGTAAGTATATTTGAGTCATTGACTGCTGAGAGCAAATCCTACGCCTAGAGTAGCAACATGTCCTTCAAAACTAACTTTTAAACTTGTCATGTTTGCAACATAAAATTGCTTGCGACCACGACCTGTGCAACCAGGTCGAAACGTCAAGCCTACCCGCGTAATTATATGATGTCCTTCAATGCCGTTCAACCGTTTTTGCTGAATCATGCCTACTGCTCAATATAATGTTTGTTTTCTTATGTATGTCTTACAAGTTTTTTCTTATGTATAGAAAAACATCTACACCTTCAAACTGTCCATTAAATTGGTCAAATTTCATATATGCTCACTTCATATCACATGATCAGGCTCTTTCTTATAGCCACGGCTGGGCAAAGGCCTCACGGCGGAATGGCGATTTCAAACTTATAATTAGTAATTATAAGTCCAGGTTTCCTCACGATAATTTTTTCCCATCGTATGACAGGGGTGTCTAATAATCATAGAAAGTATATATAACTTGGAAAAGTCACATTGGTACTTTCCAAGTGTCCAACTCTCACCCTCATTCATAAGAAGCGGATGCCTTAACCTCCGGGCATCTCCTGGTAATCATATTATTATATTATATTGATCGATTACCAATTTCATATAGAACTATTAATAGATAACATCGCATCATCGGCATCGACCTTTACCCTTACTTATCGGAGAAGGCGGTTATAAAATAAAACAGTGAAGAACAAATCTTAAACTTTATTTGATTTGATTATTGCATTGTTCACTTAAAAACTACAGTATTGCCAACAACAAACAAGCCTTAAAAATAATTAAAACATATAGCAAAATATTTCAATGTTGCTTGAAACAAAATAATCTAAATAATATTAGACATCCATAGTTTTTTTTATGTATGTGGCAGACCTTATATATATTTTTTTTATGTCAGGTGAGCCAACGGATCTCCTGATGAAAAGCAATCCTTAGGATAGATTCCTAATATGCATGTTTTCCAATAATATATGTTTTCAGTCCTTTATTTGGATTCTATTCATTATATTAAGAGCCAAACTCTTAATTTTTTTTATATTTTAAAATATATAAAATTAATAATTTTGAATAAAAAATATCATTTTATTATCTTACAGATAATATTTCAGGAATAAAATGAGTAAAATAATGAAAAGTGCTAAAAATAAAAAGTTTTTTTTTTTAATGTATAAAGAGAAAAAGTAATAAAAAAACCAGACATGCATTTCATGCTATATACGTACTTATATGTATATTTCATTAAAAGAAGTGTAAATAATTTTCCAACTTATATTTACAGCGTATTCGTCGATTTTGAGAGCTATGCCATTGACATAAAGATATTATTTACAAAGCAACGATATTCGAAAGTTTTTATTTGTTATAGGTGCTATTGTCAACGTAATAGAAGTCAAAATCGATCGACATGACTGTTAAAAAGAATATTACATAACGTAAATTAAATAAAAATATATTATTATATAAATAATTACTCATCCTATATGTGCAAATAACCCATAATTTATAGTTTTCTCCACTCTCCGCCTAAATTTCACAGATTCTTCCTAGTTTATTTCATCAAAAACTTTACGTTACCTTTGCAAAAAAATAAACAAAAACTTGAAAAAAAAAAACAACTTTGTACTAACTAGTAACATAAACCGTAAAACAAATCACGTAGAAAAAAATAAAAAAGAAAAGAAAAGTCAGTAAACTAAAAAACAAAGCAGAACAGAAAATATTTACTAGGGCCAAAAATTCATAGGTACAGTATATTGCCACCCTATACCATATCTAATTGCTATAAATATTAGCTAGATTTGGCTGCCTAATTAATCTTAGTAGTTACTAAAAAGAATTTAAAAATATCTAAAATCACATTTTTGCCGTTTACTTAAATAGTCGAATGGTATAATGGCCAGAGGGAACTGCTGCGCCCAGATTAGTTCCAACCGGCCTAAGTATACCTATAGGGATGTCTATATTCAACGGAGGACGCCATAGCTAATATGACGATAATTGATAACATAAACACACTCTTGTAGTTTGGAGTTGTATTGGTCACTCAACTCTCATTCGAGATAGATAGCTTCGAGAGAGAGAAAGAGATAGATAGATTCCGATTCACGTTATTCCAATATGGTTAAACTGGTAAACGAGTCGAGTTATCGAATAAAAAAATATTGGTCTAATTGAAACAAATTATAAAATACTTAATGGAACAATATCCCATAAGCCAGGGACTCTACAGCGATACACTCTAAGCGTTTGAGGCTACCACGCGCTAGCGTGACCAGTGCTATTAGATTTACAATTATTTTAAAAACCATTTTCAGGATTATTAATATGCAAAAAAAGGTTTTAATGTGCTTCAAAATAAACAGTTTGATGTTGAAAAAATTAACTTTCTTTTTTTTCTAACGGTGTATTATAAATTCCTTAGTGGACTAAAAAAAGTAGGTAATTAAACTTGATAAACTGCATCTAGTTTAATTAATTTCTAATAACAATTAATATTATAAAGCTGTAGTGTTAGATTATTGCTTCCTTGACAGCATATATCTCCGAAACTACTAGTTCACGTTCAGTTTTTTCTAGTTTACGCGCACGCATATTAACTCTTTAAGCAAAAAAATATGGGTTTCGTATGTCGCAATAGGAAAATAAGCCTTTTACAATTGATTACTATAAAAGAAATATGTAATACGCTTACATAACGTCTCGACTTGACCTACAGTCAAACTTTAAAATTGAGCAACTGATAAGAAGAGATAACTGTGATACGGGTATTAGAGCCGCTTTGCGTAGTGGTATCTTAACGCATGTTTGATGTGCCTATGTATGAATATCTTGAAGATCTTGAAGATCACTTGAAGTTATAGTGTAGGAATTAAAGTCGAGAGACGAGGTTTTTCAGTCAAATGGAATGATGTACCACTACCAAGGACCGGCTCAGAGCAAAAGTTTTTAACACATTAAGCGCCATGGGGGTCACCGGTGACCTCCGTTAGCGGAGGATTTGCCTTTAAAATTTTTCTGTCGGCAGTCAAAGGCTTAAGACAGTTGGAGACTTACATTCTCTCTCGCCACACCCAGGGCGAGGGGAGGCATTTGATAATTTATTATAATCCTTTTTGAAAAGAGAAAAAAATATTTAGTTTCTTTACTTAAAATAAAGCCATTTATACCTAACAGGACCTAATGGCTCACTAGCGCCACGACAACGAGCTTAAAATTACAACTGTTGGCTACACTACACCGGTAAGGAACTGCTTAAGCATTGTGCGGCCTAAGTGAAACTAGACTACACAAATAAAGGCTATAAAATACCCTTAACAACAGTAAAAAAATGTCTTAAAAATGTGCAACATAACAATTCCTCTCCTTAGAGGCTAGACCGAGATTGAATATTTGCGTGTCGCGATTTTTTTTTCCGTACAGAATAAGTCTGTGTGATTCACAAATTGTTGTTTCTCGTCTGACTGTATGTGTAAGCAAAATTGAATGTTTATAACAACATATAAACGCACCTACGACATAGGAGAAAATCCTAATGTGGGGCAACGTTTTTAAAAAACCGAAAAACGTAGTACCTACTCCTAAATATGAACTATTATTAAAATCATAATCTATGCCTTTTATAAAATGACAACGCGCATATTTTACTAGTGGGCGCCATCTAACTGGTCAAAAACACTAACCTTTATTTACCCCTAGTCAAGTAAACATTTTCATCAAAATTGTTGTTTGCCCTAAAGGGCCTTTTTACAAATCCAAAAACACTATATTTTTACTACTATAGCTTAAAGCTTTAAATTAATTCTAAGTGTTACTTCGCGCGTGGAACCCTGAGGAAGTAAGTAGAAAAGTATAAGGTCATGTCTATGATATAACCTTTTCACGAGTCACCTTTGGTCCTATAATAATAGGTGCCAATCTGAACAATAATAGACTTTAAAAGCTAAAGTCTTTACATTGTAATATAAATGATGGTAGAACGTAATAAAATATAAAAATCCACTATTAAGTTCATAACTTACATAGTGGAAATACATTCATTCAACACATGTGTTTTTTTTTAATTGTCGTAAAACAATAGTTTGATAAAACGCAATATCCTAAATCGTGACGTCAAACGACATAGAAAATTAATATTATATCATCGAAAGTATTTCTTTAAAAAAGAAATATTCACCAAACCTATTTTCTGCCAAACTTCTTGCTCTTAACTCTCATCAGTTTTCTACTTATGTATACGAAAAACTCTTTATAATTATGAGGAAAAAAGCTGCAAACGTCTAAATCGACGCTTTAAGTAAATAACTACCCCTAAACCAATTAAAAACAAATCTTAATAAAAATAATAACAGATCAACAACGGGCGATGTTGGTAACGAAGCGCTAACTACTAACAACAAGCAAGTCTACAAGCTTCAAAGCCGAATTCACAGTCTCCAAAATTATCCAGCAATACATTTTTAGGGCTGATTCTTCAATGGTTAGACAAAAGTTACCGGGGGGATAATTATGATGCTGTCGCGTCAGAATGCTTGTATAAGACAGTGACAGCAACAGTTTTATTCCTCAGATAACATTTATCTGACTATTGAAAACTAAGCCCTAAATTGCGTATGTATATCTGTTTTATTTCATTGTAGTTTATCATACAGTAAATACAAAAACAGTTTTAAAAGTTGGCTCTATATTCTCTGTCATAGAAAATGATAATATGTATTAAGAAAAATCGCCAATACGCTGAGATTTTTATTAGGCGAATAATAGCTTATCCCTTCTACATGGGAGAACACTTTTTTTAGCAGTAAGACATTTATAGGCAGCTGTGTTTTTACGATCTCATAGGGTCTCTCATGCAGTCCTTTTTCAGAAAGTCTCATGGCCTCATACTTTTACGTAGGTACACTGCAACTTTTGTAAATCAGGAACTACAGTACTACCAACTGAAAATAATCAAATGATGAGCCTCAGTGCACCCATAACATGAAATATCTATATATATGTTGAAGGCCACAACGAAATAAATCAGACTACATTATCTTCAAGACCATCATAACATTATAATCTATCAGAAACCAAGAAAGAATACTATCTATCAGTAAAAACTGTGAACTCGGCTTTTAGCTGATAATCTGACCGTTACAAGTTCTACGTTTAGTTGACCACGCACATTCGACATTCTCCTTCCAAACTGGTTCGTCTCCATCGTAGACCTCTTTCTTCCAGATCGGTACACTGGCCTTCAAAGTCTCGATGCAGTGCGAGACGGCGTCGAGGGAGTCTCTCCGGTGGGGACTGCTCACTGCTATCACTACTGACGCTTCTCTGCAAGGCACCATTCCTAGTCTGTGAAAGAATATTAAAGAATTAGTAATGTATGAAAGAATATTAAAGAAATCGTCTCGTCTCTTATTATAGAAATATGTTTGTCATAAGGTTGAAAATCCTCTGATTACTCCTCTGCCCTGGGCTCTCTTGTACTGTAGGCGCAAGCTGAATTTCTGACTATCGTTAATTTCAAAATAGGTTTTTTTATGGGATAGCGGAATGAGCAAATTGAACATCTGATGGTATCCCATCGGCGCCGTCCACGGAACCGGATCCGGATTTATGTAGGCTAAAAGAGATTTGAGTTTTCGAGACTTAAGATACATAAGGAGGTGGATTGGGCATCCGGTAACCTCACTGACACGGCACAAGATATATTTCACGTAGGAATTCGTCAGAATTGGACCTTAAACTTTTTTGTCCGGCCTAAAAACACTCAAAAATTTCCAATAACAAGAAATAAGTACCCACTTTAAATCTAATACCAACAAATGATCGCAAAAAACATGAGTCTATGCATACATATGTACATACATACATATAGCCACAAAAAACGTAATCGAGGTCACACATCACTTTGATACTTGCATACAACTAATTTATTAATCAACTAACCACACGTACAAACACAAACTATATTACAAGGGTATAAAGTTCAAAATTAATGTGAATAAATGTAATATCTTTACAACGGAAGTCAGTATTTTTCTACAGAAGCAACAATGCTGTTTCTCTGACCCTGGCGATACGGTAGTTTCCAACTAGTCAAATTCAATACTTTTATCTAAACGTCAAAAACGAAACTTTTATATGAAATCTGTATGAAACGCTTGGTTATGACGTCATAGTATTTTAGTGTCAAATAACTTAATTATTTCTTAATAATTAGTTAATAAATATCTAAAATTTAGTGTATCGATCGATCGACGAATAAAAGTACCTACAGTTATTTTTCAATATTTTATTGTATTGTACCTAACGTCGAATTAATACATGTTTGACCTAGGAAACTACCCAATTGACCTGTAATATATTTATGTATTTGTTTGTTTACATGTAACTAACTAGCACCTAGCTTCACTGACGAAATGATTTCAAAAATGTCTTTATTACTTTACATTTAAGTAACAAAATTTGACGTGTGTGGCGGGTTTGATTCCTGAACGGAACAATACTTTTCGTGTAATCCACAAATCGTTGTTTCGAGTCTGGGCGAGATATGAATGTGAAATTGTATATTTGGAAACGCAATCACTACACAGGAGAAAATCCAAGTGTAGGGCAAGATATTTAACGACGTAAAACCACCACAGCGTTGTGTTGTGCCGTGGTACCCTTTCCCTCCCCTAATGCCTCCCCAAACCCTAAATCCCCAATCACTAATCCTCAAAAGGTCGATAACGCATGTCAAATAATAAAAAGTATAAAACAAGATTTTCAGAATACTGAAAGGCGTAGTCACACGTTATCAAAGTGCAGGTATGGTACGTAAATGTAAATGTCCCGCCATTCTCCTGCTCTGAGCCGAGGTCGCGGTGCCTCATTGCACTTAACCCAGCAACCCCGGCTGAACATCAGCCCTATAGGGACTCCTGGCCACCCTGCGGATATCTTCCACCCAGGAGTACCACATTTGTTGTCTAAGTCTAACTAGACATTATTAGATTTAGACTCAAAAGAAATGATAATTAGATGACTTTAAACATCACTAGCGCCACCTACTGAATGCAAAAATTAAAACTTCCACCTTAACCAAAGTCATGGTAACAAAAGTTAGAAAGTATTTATTTCTATATTATATGCAAGAAGACAATAGAGAGAGACAAACAATAGCATACACGTTTTGTCTCTTTCTTTTCGAATGTCAGTTTGCGTCTTGTTTACAACTGTTTTTAAGACTCACGTGCGTTACTCGACAAAGCAAAATATTTTTTTGCAATTTGAACTTTATTGCCATATGCATATGTACCTACATAACAATTGAGCAATTGTAATGTTAATGGATACTTGAAACACGATACTACCGTTGTTTAATATGAATATAATGTCAACAGTATTATCATTCAAATCAATATTTAGTTATTGACACTTTATTATAATTTTATGACAATTAAACAGGTGTCCTTATGACCTTGGGAGCTGTTTTGTACATTTTCAAATACATAAACAATAATTTTTGTTCTTACTTTATATTCAAAAGTTCCTATACAAGTGTAAACTGGTTAATAAAAGAATTTCTGACATTTAATAATTAATCACAATTATTGCCACGGAACAGTCGCTAAGGAAAAAAAATTACAAAAAAAAAACTTCGCAAAAGGAGCGTAAGGTTGAAAATATGTTTATGAAATTTCCGATGTTTACTTGGACATAATAATTTAATAAGAGAATCAAGCAACAAAGCAAATTTTTTTCCGAAACCAACTTTTAACTGTAGGTAATTATGGAACCATGGTTCGACACGAATATACAGCTCGACCAGACTTGCATATTTATTTATTTTTCTTAACTAATGTAATAACTAATGTATATCACCCTGTTAGGGTGCAGCAAATTAATTTAAAACTAAGTAAATATTATAATTTTTATCATTACTATCTATTTCTTAATCATGGCTTCATAGAAAACCGGCGTGAAATACCACTCTCCGCGTGGGTAAGGTTACCGGAGGGCCAATTCTACTTCCTTATATTATCAATCCCAAAATCCTCAATCTGTAAGTCTATTACAACACCCAAAAGGCCAGGTGCTATTCCTATGGTCTTGCTTGCGTTGCCATCGGGGATCCTTCAGCTCTTCAACAAAATGTTTTTTAAAAAATGGTAAGAAAAAGTACTTGAGCATTCAGTCGTGGTGATTCGAGACACAATAGAAGAACAATAGTTGAGCGAAAGCCGGCGTTCGCTCGGGCTTTGGTGGTTTGATAAATTTAATAGAAGCATATTAAAAATGAACCAACCTGTGGTATATAGCTATGCTATGTATGGCGGGCCACTTATCCCGCGCCTCGTCGCAGATGGACTTCATAGCCTTTAATGCCATGGGCTCGTACGCTTCGTACTCAAGTCTTAATACCTGCACCAAGGAAACGAAAATGTTAGACAAATTGATCTTTGTTTTGAGTAGTGTTCGCGAGGCATTCGATTTTTATAAAATAATCATCATCATCATAAGCCTATAAGTGCCCACTGCTGAGCAAAGGCCTCTTCTCACACAGGTTTGAAGGTTTGAGCATTAATCACCACGCTTGCTCAAGGCGGATTGGCGACTTCAAACTTACAATTAGAAAATTATAAGTCCAGATTTCCTCACGATGTTTTCTTTCACCGTATGTCAGTGGTGTCTAAAAAACCATAGAAAGAAACTTGGAAAAAGTGACATCGGCCCTTGTCAGGTTTCGAGCCCGCGAGAAGGGGACGACTTAACCTCCGGGCCAGATTTTTATTCAAAACGATTCCTAATTAGCTTTCTTAAGAGAAAAACGTCATTGTATGATTTCTCCCACCCTGCGGAGAGGGAGTGTCAGACTCTTACTGACTAAATACCACTCCAATTCTGCTCCAGACCTGTGTCGAGATACATTAATGCCTTTGACCTACAACCCCGAGTGAACATCGGCTCTAGAAAGAAGAAAGAAAGAAAAGAAAGAAAAATCATTTATTCGGTACAACACCCTCTACCTCACCGTACACCGTACACCGTACACCTCCACCTCTAATGGACCATTCTAATGATCTATGGTCGTCTGATGGATATTTGAGGCGTAACGATAACAATACCTTTTTAATTTTGTTTATTTCTTGAAAAGGGAAGTCATACAATGACTCCTTTCGCATAGGATATGGCGAGTGGGGTCATTTTATGATTGCCCCATTCCTTCTTCGATTCCAAGTCGAGGCACCAGTAGTTTGTTGCCTCAACTAGCTACTCTCGCGCGGTTTCACCCGCTTCCCAGCTCCATTTGATCGTAGCGTGATGTTTAATAGCCTATAGCACTCAGGAACATTGTATCTGTCTATCAGTGGAAGAATTTTGGCAATCCGACCAGTGGTTCCAAAGATTACCCCCTACATATAAACTTACAAACATACAAACTTACAAATTATACCTCTTTATAATATAGCATAGAGAACCTTTCTACAGTCAAGTAAAAATAACAAAATAGATGTAAAATTATCATAAAGAAAATTATAGAGGAAATCTAATACTATAATATTATGTACAAAGTACAAGGTTATTATCACAGAAACAACCGCTTTACCTAACAATTATTTATGTCGTGAGCTACCTTAACAGCGAATGAGGGACATTATTATAGAATTCAAAGGCATTGTAACTAGGTAACGAGTAACATAGTAATAATATTTCATAGGATATGAAAATAATAACGTATAACTGAATCAACTGACGGAAGGTCGGCGTCGGCGCATCGCTCACTGATACCCTCAGGACCAGAAGGGCTACGTGTGGGTTACCAGACTTTTAAAAAGGAGTATCAATATCTATTTTTTTTTAAGATTAGGTTTCGTACCGGCCTCAATCACCGTAGCAAGCCTAGATTGATTAAAATAATGTATTCCTATTAAACTATAAAAGGTAATTTCGAAACGTCGAAGTAGAATCATAGTCTGTCAGTCTGTTCGTCAGTGAAGCAACGTGCTCATTCTAAAGTATGTATTCGAATGGAGAAGCGACACGAGAAACAAAAAGAGTCGTTACTCGTTTTAAAAAAAATTTAAGTACGTTTTACAAGTTTACCAATACATTAAGGGTCAAAGGTCATTTTCATTAAGTGTTCAGTATGTCCATGCTAAAATACTGAAAAAAATGACCGTAGATTCGTGAACTTTGCTTAGACTTTATAGGACTAAAATCCTTATTAATGAACTACGGTTGCTACAGACTGTGATAGAAGACGATTGATTCAGTACAGACAAAGTACCTAATGTTCTACCAAATTATACTTTTTAACGAAGCTATACTCTTTATTTAGGTACTTACTATATTTGTAGACAACCATTGGTTACTAAATATTACCGCTACTGTAAATGTATGTAAAATATGTAGCTGTTTGAGGAGCCACTCGACTAGATTCAAGCGACACAGGAAGCGGCGAAATTCGCGTAGCTAACTTTAACATATTTTGAATTGTAAGTATAATAATAATATAAAGTCACACCAAATTCATTGAAAAAATAACGACTAACTCACGTGAATTGAGTGATTAAAGCTCGACTAGTTTCAAGTCACAACGGGACTCTTATTCATGAGCAGCGTGCGTTAAATTTAATTAATTTAACTAGGGCTGTCTCACAAAAGTTGTGACACGAAATAGATTTCAAGTTTACAAATAAGAAAATTGTTAAGATCTTTAATAAATTTTCAGTATTTTTGTACTAATAATTATTAAAAAAATTTGGCTGATAGCTTCAGGGTTTATACCTAGCATTATAATTGTGACTATTTACCTAATTGCTTTTTGTTGCTACTAACTTAATAATGTAATTGTCACCTGCAATGTCTTTATCACTTGTTCAAATACTACTTCGTGTTGTCAATTTAGTTCCAAAACTACCAAACCGGTTCCTGATATTTAGGTACCTACCAAATAAATTGCTTTCACTTATTTGTTTTCAATACAGTAGCGTAGCGTTTTGCGCACGCCTCAAAGAGCCAATAGACAACCGCTGATGAGGCCCTACGTCGTCGTCGATATTTAGAAGGGGGTTTTTCACCGTTTTTAGAATTTGCGGGTCAAGCGCTATAGGTACCGCGGCCTCGGCCTTAAGCAGAAGAAGGAAAGGGTTTTTTTAGTCAGTAAGACTCTGACACTGACATTCCCTTTCGCTGAGCGAGGAACACAAAGAGGTCATATTATATTGATTGTTAATTTCTAACATTTTCTATAGTAAATGTTTTATGATTTAATGGGCTCAAATATGTAGTAAGTCACATATCGGCAAGTGTGTGTATTTCTAACTATTTATCCAGAAGTCCATTTTCAAACTCAATCTCCGAGTAGCTTCTGAGAATGGCAAAAACCAAAATCTTTGATAACTCGTTTTAGGCAACCTTGCTAGCTACATCTCATTGAATATCAATATTTTTTATTCTAAAAAGTCTAGGAAACATGTTCTCTGATCCAGAAGAAGCAATTATATAAAGTAACTAGCTACTCTCGCGCGGTTTCACCCGCTGCTCGGCTCAATTTCATCGTAGCGTGATATTTTATAGCACTCAAGAACATTGTAGCTATCTATCAGTAAAAGAATTTTGGCAATCTGACCAGTGGTTCCAAAGATTACCCCCTACATACAAACTTACAAATTTTACCTCTTTTTAATATTAGTATAGATGACGCCATAACACATAGCAAAACATGACTTGTCATTTCTTATCAGTACTATTTATAGCAATCGCAAAAATTTCCTAATGTTATGTAGGTAGATAATTTTATTTACACGGCCCGTTTATTTATTCTATTTTTATATTCTGATTTAATCTGTGATAAATTATGATGTTGAAGCATGATATTATAATCGTGAATATTGTAGCCTTAGTAACAATAGGGTTTGGTGTGACGTGTATGTGAATTTGTTGGTAAACGCAACCACGGTCCACGACACAGATAGAAAAAATAGTGGGCAGGTCCCCTAAAAAACTAAAATAAAAATAGTTTGTTGTTGCTCTGTAAGGTAATTTTGCACTGCCGAGTTTTTTTTTCTGTAATAGGTCGGCAAACGAGCTGACGCATTACCTACCTGATGGTAAGCAATCAAGCAGCGGCGTTACGAGTGCGTTGCCGACCTTTTAGGGATTAGGGTTTTAGAGATTTAGGGATTGGGGAGGAAACGCGAGACGAGAAGGATTGGGCCTCCGGTAACCTCACTCACACGGCGAAACAGAACGCTGTGGTTGTTTCACGCCGGTTTTTTGTGAGGCCGTGGTATTACTCCGGTCGAGCCGACCCATTCGTGCCGAAGCATGGCTCTCCCACACGTTTCAGAAATAGGAGAGTTTTAAGTGTGGGAGAAGCATACTTCGGTATGAATGAGCCGGCTTAACAGAAAACAGGAGTGGGACACCGCTTGGGGTTGCGGCGCAGGTTACTGGAGGCCCAATCCTTTTCCTCTCCCCGTCTCTCCCTAATCCATATATCTCAAAAGTTTTTATACCACAAATCCCGGCCACGCAGTTGTATCTCCTGTGTTGAGTGTGCCTATATGGGCGGCCCCGATTGCTTACCATCAGGTAATACGCCTGCTAGTTTGCCAATCTATAACATAAAAAAAATCTGGTGTCTGTGGGCGGGGCTGACTGCCAAAAAAAGGGTGTAACATTAATATGGAAGTATAAAATAAAAAATAAGTTACTCTTACCTTTTTCCCTTCAAAGTTGTCCCTAGTAGTTCCGATAAACACAGACACTGCTCCGCATCTGTCATCCGTGACCAGATCCGTGATTTCATCCACTGACAGTTTATCCGGAGTTAGTTTTAAGTGATCCATTTTGTATACACTTAAAGTTCTAATTGTTTATAAAATATTGCACTACGGTGCTAATGTATTTTAGTCTATAAAGCACTTAAAAATTGAATTATATTGAAGTTTCTATATTTTTTTTCTAAAAATTTCTTTTATCCTCCACTGATTGGGGGTATAACAGCAATACTATCACGCTCCCTGATTTCTATATCAATGTCTTCGTCACAAACTTCTTCGTTCTTAGCCAACAATATATTGTTTTTGATAGCTTCTAAGTTGTAACTGTCCACTATGATATTCAATAGTTTACTGTAGCTAATCTTGTTGGGAAGACGTATCGTAGATTCCTTGGTACCAGCCAACTCTTTGGATTGTGCGAAAAATAATAACTTCACATTGACATCATGCGCTATTTCCATATTTTATTCTGAAAGTAAAAAAGTAATTATAAACAGATAAGATAGCAATATATTTTATTAAAAAAAATAAGTGCATTTGTTGTCTGTTTTGGTAAAATAATGACAGCTTAAAGCTAAAATTGCATGAAATAATGCAAAGTTTAAATAGGTAATAAAGTTTCTTGCAAAACTTGGTAGCCAAAAATACCCTTAAAAATTAAATGTATAAATTAATATTAAATTACTACAATTATTAAATACATAATACAAAGTAATTAACTAAGTGAGTAGTATTATTAATTGTTCCAATAATGTGTATTTAATAGAGCTATAATAAGTCGGTAATTAAATTATAATTCTTTAGTTAATTGCTGTTTATAACTACAGTTTTAAAATAGAAGTTTGCAAAGCTATGTACACATAATAATTTATTTAAAACAATGCTATTTAGTTACATTAAAATTCATTAACATTTTAACCAAATGCAAAGCATACTTTTAATAAAAAGTGCATGAATTCAGAGCATGACCATAAACTTTCATTTTTCTTTCTCTGACCCTTGTCACTCACAAACCAGTTTAAAAAATCAAAAGTAAAATAAAAAAAGTTATACATACTATAACAGCGCGAAGGCCAACTCGTCTCCTTTATATTTAAATTTAGAACTGCATAACAAGATCTAGTCAATAGAGTTCTTAATACGCTACTTATAATTAAACTAACTTATCGCGTAATTTACGTGTGTCGCAGAACACACTCGCAAATGTACTAAAAGCATTACGATATAAATTTTATTGTAGATGACGATATCGCGGCAACATACCTATGAACTGGTTTTGTCGTCTTTGCAATTTGCAACTTCAGTAAACTTTTGCTTGACTAAATATTTATAACTATACTGATAAAAACTTTGCATTAAACTTCACGTCAATGTACTAACACTTAGTATTCGGTGTACTTCGTGTGAATGATGTAACCGATATGAAATTTGTTTTTCAAAGTTCATCAACATGAATATGCGTTGAGGTTATAAATTAACCTTGACTTCGTATTTTTTTTCTTTTCTTAGTGACAAGCTTAATGTATAGTATACACTTACCAAGATCATTGTAACTTAAATAAAATTAACACTCAATTTGATCATCCGTCTCAAAATATGTAGAACTTTTAATTGTTTTCGTTTACAAAAACAAGAACTAAAATAAAATCATCTGATATTTGACAGAACAGTTTTCGGAGATAGCAACAAAAAAATTGTTTGTCACCTATTTTGTTTTCAAATAAAATGCCAGTTATTTTATTTACTTCACGATTAATTATACTACTTAACTAAAATATTTATATTCAGTTAATATACGAAAATATTTTTACATTGAAATAATTTCTTCCTAAGATTACATGTAGCTCGCTTCGCTAATACCCACCCTTCGACAAATTAAGGTGTTTACATACTACTGAAGTTTCCAACCGTTAGTATCAGTTATTTTATAAACTGTTATTTTAACGTTACTATGAAGTTTTTATAATTTCATTCTGTTGTTATAAATGGAACTTTAAATCGATTTATAGATATTAATGAATAGCGATTTAATCTAATAATATAAATAAAATTTGTTGCGTGGTAGACGTTGCCAATTATTTCAGTGCAACAAAGAAGTAATTACATTTTAATCACATCCTTTTTGCCAAGTGCGCAAATTAGTTATTCTTTGGGATCTTTTTGCATTTTTTTTGTGTGACACCCTGTCAAACGACCTGAAAGACGCAGACGAATTACCATATGGTAATAATCAGCGCCAGCCATGGACACTCGCAACATCGGAGAAGTAACCAAAATGCGTTCCCGAACTTTTCGGGATTTCGAGATTTTGGACTTGGGGATGATTTAGGGGAGAAGATGGATTGGGCCTCTGGTGTGACCGTAGTACCAGCTCGGTCGAGCCGACCCATTTGTGCCGAAGCATGGCTCTCCCACACTTAAATAAAACTTTCGTGTAATCTGGAATGTGGTCGTACAGTGTTATCCTTCAATACATATTGAATATTCTTTTTATGTTTCAGAAGTCAAAAATAGTGAGTGACAATCAGTAAGTTCGATTCAGGGGTTAATGAGGTTTAAATGATGAATTCTATTAATTGGAGAAATATAATCATTCTATTAAGTATTAACTGCAAAGCCAGACAAAAGTAAGTACATAATTATAGCCAGTCAATCGGTTAAAATCACATCGAAGCAGCAGCAGTATAAGCTCGGGACGTCAACCTTGCTGTAAAATAAATGGTAAAAAGATTTGTTGCACTTCAGTCTATCCAGTAAATATTCCAGATAATACAGTTAATATTATTCTTATATAACTCCTGATACTGATGTCACTATACACTTCGGTATTATTATTTGATATTCGTAAAATCCAAAAATGTCATAAACTTGTAATTTGTTTTTGTCTATAAACTTTAGCTGTTTCGCACTAAAGAAGCTATCATTGGTATGACAGACCGAAAACTACCAGGTTTGAAAGAACTAAAAGCTAGTGATATTTCCTAATGCCTGTAAAAATATAATTATCATAACTCACAGTCGCTTTTCAATATAATTTTTTTGCCGCTTAACTATAAGCAGGTACAACCTTTTCATTGACAAATAACGTTATAGAAATGACAGTAACGGTTAATTTTGTTCTGCCCTCGTTGCTTCCCGGCAGTGTACATATAACCTTTGGTCAACTGACATTTCAAATTATAAAAAAGTTACCGGATTTCAAACGGTCTCGGAGCGGGCGGTGTATTTGTGTTTAGGTTCAACAGCTCTGCATCGCATTTTGGCAAGATTCCCTCGGGTGCGCGCGTTACATAAAATGAACGTCGCGTTTCGTGCCACACAAAAAGGATAAAAATAGATTTTGAGAGTGAGTTGCGTGTTCACATCACCGACATTTTTGTTTTTAAATGACATACATACGCGCGTCGCCACTTGTACTACGCTGTATTAGAAATCTTAGTGAAACTATCTGAAATCGGTTAACTGTAAACATTGGACTAATTTTTTCTTTGTGTCTCTCTCCAGATTGACGCGTGGAGGACAGAAAATACGAGTGCGGACAGCAACTATAGTGACCTGTGAAACTCGGTGTGTGTGACTGGTGATAGTGTTTGAGTGGTAGACTTGCGAGATGGCTCACCAAGTGGAGCCGATGGACATAGACAGTGACTTCGATAACAAAGAGAACAGTTTACATCACAACAATGTGCTGCCGTTCACGGAGAAGGGCTATGAAGAGCTGGACGTGTCGGAGCTGAACATGAAACTCAGGTACTCTGTAACTCCAGCTTCCTCACCTATGTCTAAGAGTTACACCGCCAATTGCCTTGACAATAGAAGTTTAGATTCAGGGGATGACACTTTAAATGTAACAATTAATGAGAATTGTAATTTAACAAGGTCACTTAATTCTAATTTAACTAAGAATGACAGTGTTGTAAAATCTAACAAAACTTTACCACTGCAAACAATCTCTACAGAGCAATGTGTTGACAGTAATAGGAACACATCAGTGCTCCGGCCTCTAGACACAACCATTACTCAAGACAATGCCAATGTGACTGTTACTGTAAACGTGCCCAGTGACATGGATGATCACCTGTTGAGTTCATCATCATCTGCAGTACAAACTCCTGAAGCAACCACTCCAACAAAGGAAATTCCAAAGAGCGATGGAGGATCTCCTATCATGCGAGGCCTCAAAAGTGTTCTCAATATGTTCAGATCCTCACAAAGTCCGATACCATCTGCAGATAGTGATGATGTTGTAAAACCAGATATACTGAGCCCTCTGGAATCATCTGTGGCAATTGAAGAAGCAAAAACAAAGGCTATGTTGGTCTCCACTCCAATTTCAGCACATCGGAAGAAAGAAACAAGCCCCACAAAAAGGAACAGTCCAACAAAAGAACCTATTGTATTTAATGAGGATCTGGAGAAAGAGCTGCAGTGGAAAGATGAGACAACCATTATATTTAGCCAGGAGCGCATTCCTATACACAAATTGTTTTTTCCACTTGGTCAAGCTGGAGCCCAGAAGCCTACTTCTAGCCAAGAGGTACCAACACCACAGAAGACACAAGATTTAGATTCTACAGTTGAATATATGGATATTTCATACAATGATTCAATAAGAGATAGAACTATGACGGACATACAAGAATTGGCTAATAAGACTGATGGAACTGTAGGGACAGAATCCGATGGAGAATTTGTGGACTGTGAAACAACATTTACTAAGAATGAGTCTCTGTTAGAAGATAATAATAAAACTCCGGTAAATAAAACACAAGATTTAACTATAGATGTTGAGAATATTAGTGAAAATACAAGTTCAAGGCTCAAACAAATAGTTCTGAATACTACCCAAGATATATTAGATGCTACCTTGTCCATAACTCCAGAAGACTTGTTACCAGAAAGTTTAATTAAAAAACCAGAGTTGTCAGAACAAGTGACACAGTCTACAGACACTATTACCGATGTTCCAGATGAAACACATCTTGATAAATCTATTGAAATGAATGACACTAAAATATTGAATGACACCTTACACAATGTATCAACAACTGAAGAAAACATTCCCAATGTAAATGAAACTATAGATATATTGAACCAAACAGAAGACAGTCAAGATCCTAATTCAACTAAAACATTTGATATTGAGCCAAACCTAGATCACACATTAGACATAATAAAACCCACAGAATGTACAGATGATCCTAATTTGACTAAAATATTAGAGAATGTATTGCCTGAGACTATAATGGAATTAAAACAAGAAGAACCTTTAAATGAACCTGTGAAAGATCATGCATTGACATCTGAAGAAAATGAAAGGCTTGCAGAAGTTGAAAAGAATTTGAACCAAGTTACTGAACTCAACAAAACTGACACAATAAGCCTACAAGATACATATATTACTATCACAACTGATTTTGGTTCTGAAATGCTTAGTGAAGTTGATAAAACATCTCAAATTCCTGACGATGAAAAAGAGCTTGTACCTGTTAAAGAGGCATCAATGACTGAGTTGGCTGCAGAAGTACCCTTACCCGATGAAGATGATCTTGAGAAGGAACTTATCTCTGATACTCCTAATGAAGAAATAAATAGTTTGCCTTTAGACCTTGTTGATGACATCATAGTGCAAACAGAGAAACCAGTCACAACTCAAAATGTAGAAGTAGTCAATACTAATCAAGAAGTAGTAACAGAATTAGAAAGAAATGAAAACATATGTGATAAAGTATCAGAAACACCTTTGACTTCTGATAAACTTGATAGTATAAACCAAGAGACAGCTCCATTTGTACCTGCACATGAAGTAGTTCCAGAAGTTGTCGAAGCTTTGAATGTTGATAATTATCAAGTTACTGACAAAGACATAGTTGATCCTGTTGATTTATTACCAGAATCAGTAACTAATGAAACAGTTGGCACTGAAGCTGAGAAAATAGTTGATCAAGTACATAATGATGTAGAAATAAAATCAGATTCAGTTATAGAAACTCTTAATGCGACAGTTCAATTTATCACTGAAGAAAGAGAGGAACAGGGGCATGTTTCAAATATAGACAGTGTAATAGAATTAAAACCATTACCTGATATCATTAATCAAACTGCCTTGCTTAATGTAGAAAATATTTTATCGGAAGCAATTCCCGAACCAGTAATACAAGAACTGTCTACTGTATTGCCAGAAAATTATGAAAATGTAGTTAAGGAAGAAGTTATCTCGGAGGCTACTATGACTAAAGATATACCAGAACTCTTAACACAAGCTCAAGTTTCTGAAGTAGAAAAACCTGATCATGACACAGTACAGAAGGCGGTGATAGATATTGATGAAATAAATAAAAGTTCTGTTTCTGCCCCAACACAAACCAATGTTATTCAAGAAACACCTGCAGCTACGAATGTTGATGCAAGTTCAGACCTAGGCAATCTTGAGGTTGTGACTGCAGAGGCTCATAAGCTTGGCCATGAAGTTCCGCCTGTTGAGAAAGTTGATATTCCAATCAATGAAAATATTGTATCTAACGCTGATGATGATGAAATAATACTCTCTGAAAATAATAGTCCATTTGTATCAGTCATTGCTGAAAATATTCCTGAACAAATGAAACCAACAGACAATGTTGATAATCCTAATGTAGATGATAATGAACAGGTGGCGACAACCGACAGGGTCGTATTGACTCCACCAGCGTCTCCACCAATCGCCTCCAAGGGCTACAACTTCAATTTTGACGAAATCGATGATCCATTTGCTACTAAAACCAAAATAAGAATGTCGCCCTCCTTTGAAACTCCAAATAAAACTGTTGAACCAGCAAGTACCAAAAGCGCGGACAAAATTACGCCTAAAAAGGAAATCAATAACAGAAGAAAATCACAACCAGAAAGAAAAAGACCTTCTGCTTCTAAGAGAAAGTTTAATTCCACTTTCAGCGGCGCTGTGGATGGTCAAACAGCTGAAACAATTGAAACTTCAGGTGATGGTGACTTTAAATTAGAATCACCACTGAATGTAGCTTTGGAACCAAACAATATCATGATTAAAGAAGACAAAATACTTGAAGAAATTAAAAAGGTTCAAGAAAACACATTGGATGTCACAGAAGAAGTACTTAAACAAGAACAAGAAATCAATGTCGTCGTTGAAACACCATCCCGTGTACCAAATGTCCAAGAAAACACATTGGATGTTAAAGAAGAAGTACTTAAACAAGAACAAGAAATCAATGTCGTCGTTGAAACACCATCCCGTGTACCAAGTGACGACTTAAAAATTACTTCGTCATCCGAACAATCTACATATTTCTCTGCGGGCACATCATCAAGTGAAAGCATTCCTTCAAGAAATGTCTTCAACCTACCAGAGATTGATGATATGAACTTTAATCCGTTTGCAACAAAGTCTAAAATGCGACAGTCTCCGCCTCCAAGTTTAGATGCAACCATAGAAAATCCTTTTGCCACTAAAAGCAAAATAAAAAGCACCCCTGAGTCTTCCATGATTTTACCGGATAATGAAGTAGTAAATGATGAAGAGAATGCAATTGCCGGATTAATTAATGATAAAATAGACTTTGAGTTAATGGAAAAAGATGCATCAGGAAATTTGAGTAATGTAACTTCTTCATCTAAAGCTACAGATGACAGAAATGGTACAGTCAGGGAAGTAAATACTGATACCGACGATACTGTTGAGGGACCGTTTTTAGAAGCTGATGATTTGAACACTGATGATAAAATGTCTGATTTTGATGGTGAAAATATTGATATGATGCAGTTTAATGAATTACCAACTCAAGGAAATGATGATAATGGTGAATTATTTATAGATGCAGAGGCTTTCGAGTTTCTTTTAAACCAGAATAAAAGTAACACAGTTGTTGACAGTGGTAAAGAGAGTTTGTTCCTTAAGTTTGATCCGCTTTTCGCAAAGAGAATGTCGTCTATTACATCTGATGGTTTGGTAGCTTCTTTGAATAAGATTCAGAAAAGACAAAGCACTCCTACAAAGACAGCAATGCCGGTAAAGGAAGAGAAGTCTCCTATTCCGGGGCCTTCCAACTTGAACGTTACCCAAGACATGGACGTGAGTGAGGAATTCAATGACGATCTTAATGTAACTGTGTCTAAACCGATGATGGTTGTTCCCCCTGCTGTCAATCCAGTCACGCCTAGAAACAAATCATTGACACCCAACAGATCGAACAGGCGTTCTATTACATTCACGTCTCCTGCCATGGCTGTTATTGATAGACTTTTGTCTTTAAGTGGCAATACATCCCTTATGCACGATACTAGTGTCACACAACCCACAAGGGAACAAAATGAAGCCGATTTAGCTCTCACTCAGTTACGAGAGCTTCTGGCCGAGAAAGAAATACACGTGTACAGTCTAAGGTCTGAAAGTAAAGAGCTCAAAGATAGACTATCTTCATTAGAATCACATTTGAAGAGCTTGGAAGAAGAAAGCCAAGATAGACTGAAAAAGATAAACGACTTGAACACTCGGCTTGCTGAAAAAACAAAGATTAATAAGGGCATGGCGGCTGTTGTCGAGGAATATGAGAGGACGATAGCTAGTTTGATCTCGGAAACAGCACAAGACAAGAAGAGACACGCAGAAGAGAGAATAAAACTAATAAATGAGAGAGATGAACAGACGGCTCACTTAGCCAGTATGGAGGTTTCGTTTAGTGACCTTCATAGTAAATACGAAAAGAGTAAACAAGTCATTCTTAACTGTAAGGCCAATGAAGATACATATAAAAAATCCATTAAAGCGTTTGAAGAAAACTTAACAAAAATGCAAAACAATTATGAGCTTCTGAAACAGCACGCGACGTCAAAGCTCAACCACGCGAATCAGGAGCTAGAGAAGATGAATAGAGCGCACGAGGCGGAAGTATTGAAGCTGAATGCCATGATTAAGAGGAAAGATCTCCACATCACGTCACTAGAAGAGTCTCTTGCGCAAAAGACGAAAGCAAACGAGGAGCTGACAGCCATATGCGATGAACTCATCAATAAGGTTGGCTGAAATATATTTTAGGCTTTTCTATATTTGTTGTGTCTGTGATCTAGGCGGATACTCCGAGACTTGCTTTTGTGCTTATCTTAAGATAAGTAGCATTAAGTTGAAACTAGTCTCTACGTTATTGTGCCAAATCATTTTAGTGTAACGACATTTTATTCCTGTTGTTTAATTATACTCAAAGACTGCAAAATGTGATAAAATTCAATTTCTATAATCATGTTACAGTGTATACTTATATGTAATGTTAATGAGACCATGTTTTCAACCAGAACATCAGACCACAGCACTATTACATTATGCTGGCCATAATTAAAGTGTGCGGATTATAAGTCAGACACAGTTCTTTAGATGATAAAAATGTATATTTTTTGCATGTATAACTGTTGTATTTAAATCCCAGATATTTATTTTGTATGTAAACATTTTCTACAATATTTTTGGGAAAATTTAAAAGTACACGTAATGATATTTTTGTAGATATGTATTCATGAAAAATCTATGATATATTTGGTATTTAGACAATTATAATGATTTGTATCCTGTTTGTAATACCTGACTGTTGTAAACTAACTTTATGGAAAATATGTTACTGCTAACTAGCCTCGCGTTGTAACATCGTACAGTTTCGCATTATTTTTATTTAAGCAGTCTTTATCTGACCAACCTCGATTCCTCAATTAACAATTTTGACATTGTATCTATATTTGTACCACAATTATCCTAATAATAATTACGTATTCAATTCAATAATAATTTTGGACATGACAAAAAAATATTTAATGTAAAATTATAATAGCTCGACTTTCCACATAACGGGTTGTTTGTCAGTTATTTTGTGTAATATAGGATTTAGTTATTATTTTAGCAAATAAAGTTGTCATTTTCTCATATTTATGTATGTTTCATTTATCCTTGAGCGTAGAGAATAGTTGTATTTAGTTCTGGCAAAATTATGTTTAGGATATTGGTGGAAATAGGGCAAGGACAACTATTTCGAAATAGTTCCGTTCTGATTATAGTTACGAAGATTGAAAATCTCATTTGCATGCTTTTGAAAGTTTTTCAGAATAGAATCACGTAAGTTCTTTGTCTATTTAAATACATTGTCTATTTGGTGTACTTAAGCAATTTGTTAGTTTTAATTACCGTGCCAAATTATTTAACCATTTGCATGGCGTAGGAGTGATAAATTGCGTTAATACACGAGCTTGTAAATGGAGGAAAGGTTTTATATAAAAGCGACGCATTTAAGTATTATTTTCAATTGGAATATATTATTTTTCCTTATAATGAGCACATGCATAATAATAACTGTTAACAAGTATCTATCTAATAATTAGAAATGTAATGGAAAACCAACTTGATTTATTGGCAAGCATTGCAAATTCTCTAGAGACATGTCGATAGAATTCTTGAACATAAACTTTCTATGAAATACTGCACTATAATTTGTCTACGGCATGCTCCGAGCACATCTATTTCGAACCAAGTTTACGAGGCTTTTTTGTAGACAACGTATTTTATATTCCAATAGTTTATTTTATGAACAGCTGTATTGGAATCGGAGTTCTAATCACATCTCCTTCGAGCTATTTTCGTTTGCATTCAACTTCAATGATTGATTCAGTTTTAAATTGATATTTCTTTTATTATCCGCAATGTTAGATTCAGCTGCAGTAATAAATAAAGTTAACTGGAGTTTGAAGTCTACGATTATCTAGCAATTGCAGACGGACAAGTAAAAAATATCAAACTTAATTCCCAACAGCGGCCAACGACCTCGCTAGCCTAAACATTTTATGATTTGCGTCTCATAACATTACCAATAAAGATGCTTACCCTACTCATCAAACCATGTTATGTTTTTCAACTAAAAATGTCTTAGAAGACAGACATGTGCTGCTAACAGCGAGGTGCACATTCACAGATCCGGTTTGAATTGTCGTTTTTTGTTGCGCTGCGGATTGCGGAAATGGTGTGAAGTTACACAGACTACACGGGGCACTTTCTTGACGCCCTTGAAAGCGGAGACACTAAAGTATTTGTGAGGGGAATTAGTTTAAATTAAATGTCATAAGCATGTTTCGCTTAAGCGCTAATGTTTCTTCGAAACCATTACTATATTTAAACTAAACTGAAAGTTTTCCTATCGACTAGCTAAGTTAATTTACGCGTCTAAGACAAAATGGTTTTCCAAATACATATGTATTGGTGATCTATTTTGTCCGAAGGCACGTAAACTATACATTATGCTTCGGTATGTATCATTACACCATGTCAGCTCGGGACTACAGAAATAAAATTACCATTATATTGCACGCGAGCGCAGCAGCGGGCAAAACATCGCAAAATTATTCAACGGACGACTCCGTGCATACGTTTGATAAATGTGTGAAATATGTACTTTATGTCGTCCTAATCAGTGCCAGGCCGTGCCACCGACTATTTGGACAAAAAATTGCCATCTATGAGACTCCCGCCTTTCCTCGTTTGGATTCCGAACGAGGAGGTTCTTTATCGTTGCCATGGCAACGTGCGACAAACACTGCCAAACATTCTCATTGAGTAGCGATCAAAACGGGTCGGCTAACGATTATGCACGAGTGATGTATGACGAGACGGTCAACGTTGTTAACGCTAGAGAGATCGACAGCCCGTCGAGTGACGAGGAAGTGGTAAAAGCAACAATGTCCAAGTTTAATCCCCCAGTGAGGCATACCGCCAGGCATGACTTCGATTCGGACAGTGAAACCGAGTCGGAAGGCGACAAGTTTTTGGGCAATATGTCCGGAGAAGATCAGGTTAGTACAATTTTGTCTTATGTAACTACGTAGTTGAATAAACAGGCCCTTTCTAAAACTAATTGCTGTATAATAGACGTTAACCCAATTTTCATCATAATTACAATTGTAAAACGTTTTCGCCCTTTCTAATCAATAACGTAAGCAAGAAACGAACAGTATGTATCAAATACCTTGTTACGTTTGCCAACAATTACAATTAACGCTCGTCACGTTAAAGATTCGTGATAGTCCAACAATACTTATATACTACAGCGAAAGATATAAGACATTACATGCTCCAATTACTGCCCATATAGTTTAATTTCACCGCTAGGGAGCTATTTTAGCGGTAGACAGCAGTAGACAAACATTAAATGCATTTATTTGCGCTACGGCATCCCAGGAATTTAGATAGGCAACTTCTATTGTAGCGGCCATATTGCATAGATTAAATCTTCCTCCCGCCATAGTTCGCGTGGCGCCACCTGTTGGTCATCCCGTTGTTTATTCCCGTTGTAAACATAGACAATTTTGGACCGGGTTCAATGATCAAAAGTTATTTATTCCGGGTATGGTTAGAAATGGTTTTTAACTGTCGTAAAGCGACGAAGATTTCATTAGCTAGGGGAAGCTTCCTACATGAATATTTTAGGATACAATAGCGGAGCATGATCGTTTTAGACTGTTCAAACACGCGTAGAATCTATTAGCTGTTTGCATTATCCAGCGATAGTTGTGGTCGTGCGAGCAAATGCATGACCACGGCTATTATGTATGCATAGGATAAAGAGAGTGTTGATTATACGCTCAATAACTTCGTAATTATTAGTCTGCAGAGGAAACTAAATCTAGGTTTTAAGGAATATTTATAATGTATCTAATTACATGTTATGTCTCACAATTATTTGCTTTAGAACCGTATCAACCATATTAAAGTACAATGAAAAGTCTGGTATTAACTTAGTAAAATAATTCTTGTATCAGTCGCCGGATAGAAAGTCACAACCTTCAGAAAAATCAATGGAAGCCCCCAAAGTGAGCAGAGCTGACCTTATGAAGGAGACTAGCGGGAGATCCAGGCCTGTCGCCAAACGTGAAGATTCATCCAATTCAGGTCAGTTATTCAGTTAATGATAATAACTAATGATGTGAGTCATTGTGTCAAAAATACGTAGTGATCTTTAAATACTGATTTTAAATGTTAGATATAAGTAGAAATACTTTCCGCACTTGACTCAGATGGCACAGTGACCGTATCAGAAGCAGTTGTACAGTGTGCTGCGGGTTCGAATCTTGCATAAATCAACTCTGTGCGATAGGTACTTATTACGTCTCTATTAGAGATTCTCTAAGAGCGATTATGCGAACCTATGTTAGATTACGTGTCGTTCGTCAACGCAACCATGACACAGAAGAAAGGCGTAGTATGAAACAATGTTAAAATATATCCGTCTGTGATATAGGTACAAATGTTTTGGCGTATCATATTTAATAAAAATAGTCGTTGAATGTTTCAAAATTAAGGATACCCCTTACCGCAACTAATTTTGGTTCCCTCTACCGCTGTCAGTCAACCGTATCGCGGGGACAAAAATAGTTTTAATAACATCGTCGTGCGTTTGAAAATTTGGACATAATTCTTTAATCTTTAACGAGCGACAGGATTTCGTACGGCTTTAGTTCTTCCATTTAACATAAAACTTTCATCATGAATCATTCGGCCCATTAGTGGAAGTTGTATGAAAATTGGAACAGTAGTTTGCTGTTTATAACGTTCAAACAAAATGGACATGCGACGAAAATTTGTTTTGAAATATGCCTCAAGCGATTAGACCTTTTAATAAAATAAGTTTAAAATCAATTGTAAGAACATTAGTTTTAAAAAGAAATGGCAAATGGCGTTGCTAATTGAAACTTGTTATGTTGTCGAAGACGTGACAAAAAATAGCATAGTTTACCATCTGGAAACGTCACTGAAGCATAGAGTATCCGTTTTTTTCTTGCTTTCTACCAACACCTAATTGCAAGTTCTATTTATAAAATACTGATAAACACTAATTAAAAAATAAACCTGACGACTGAGTTTTGTTAATTAACTACCCAATTTAAGTATCGTTTTAGGCCTATTAGGTACTTTTTATTACTTTATTAGCAGATTCTTTTTTGCGAATTGTTAAAAAAATTACCTAATGCGTTTTCTACTTTCAGTCAGTGCCTAATGGTTCATCGATGTTGTAATGCCTATAAATCTCCATTTTATCTTACAAACAATAATGCAGAGCGTTCATGATATTTTTAACTCGGCGGGCTTTGTTTACAGCAGCCTTAGATATCATGCGATACGCTGCGTTTGTTCATGATAATGTCCTAGAAAATGTAAAGAAGGCAGCCATATTAACCTACTTGGTTGCAATTCTTTGACAGGATTGGGGTCGTTGACCGTAAGCGCGGGTTAATGCGGGCTTGATGTCTTTCCATGTTTTTTATAATGTTATTATCGTTAAAAACTTTGTTTATTTTTGAATACCTAAGATATCACAATTTGTGTTACATGTAAATATTTTGTGCAATTGAAATAAAAAACAATTTAGCGTAAATAGCTGTCAGTGCTTGGCCCAGAAAGATTTTATTGCAAAAAAACTATTTTTTGATAAAAGCTGATTTGGATCAATCGAATATTTAGCCATGGTCGAATAATAATGCTAGTTTCGTAGTAGGTACTACTGGTTGGTGGTTAGCGTAATTGACGAGTTGTACTTAAATACCTCTTTCGATATAGTTTATTTTTCAGTTTTATGATAAACTAGTTAACCCGGTGAACTTCGTATTGCCTAATAGACAATGAATACTATTTTTCTCACTTTTGTTGACTAAAATATTAATATGACAAATATTTGAAGATCAAAATTACCTAAATGGGTCCAGCCATTCTTACGTTTTAGCGTGACTAGATATATAAATTCTACTAATATTATAAAACTAAAGAGTTTGTTTGTTTGTTTGAATGCGCTAATCTCCGAAACTACTGGTTCGAATTGATTATTCTTTTCTTGTTCGTTAGTCGAGTCGAGTTTATCGAGGAATGCTGTAGACTATAAAACATCATGTTACGATCTGTAGGAGCCGAGTTGCAAGTGAAACCGCGAAAGATTAGCTAGTTTTCATATATAAGGTATAGGTACCCAAAAGTACTACTTGCTACTGGGTAATGTATAAACGTATAAAGATTGTAGTGTATGTCTCGGCTGTACGTATGTCACAAATAATAGGTACGAACCTATGAAATTGCCGTTTTGCATGAAAAAATTTAAACGATTTTTTTTATTTGAAATTAGATGAAAATGTAACACTAATCAATAAACAAATGACTACTTTTGGAAAAAGAATCCCATGTTTTTAAAACAAAATTAATTAGCCTTAGCCTAACAAAAACTATTTTGATTTGAAATGGCCAGTACTGCAGAACGGCAATTTCGTAGGTAAAGACCTATAATGTGGTCAGTAGTGTTTGCAGTAACTGAGACTAATCTAACAATACAAGTCTCGCTCTACTATGCAAATTCTGCAAAACCCTTAACTAATTACATGATATTACATGTATGTATGGCCTTTGAAAGTTATTATTTTTACAGTTTTTTTGTTCTTTATAAAAAAAATTTTGTGAGTGGCAAATCATCAAATGACTTCTCCCGCCCAGGGCAAAGCGGGAGGGAGTGTCAGACTCTTACTGACTAAAAACTCCCCTGTTCCTTCTCCTGCTCTGGGCCGAGGTTGTGCTTACCCTGCAACCCCGGCTTCTTTAGATATGTTAGCTTATAGAAAGACGTCTCTAATGCAAGATTCTTAGGTATTTTATTTTAATATGCAATTTATGTTGCTTTCCATCGTGCGTCACTGCAAGGGTGCCAACTGAAAACCAGTGTTGGGTTTTCACTGAGCCAAGTTTATTCTGAGATGCAAGCCTTTTGGCATGGACATGCTGTCTACTGGTTTTATTTTTTTAAGTTTCAGTTGAATGTTCAGTTTTTACATTCTTTTTAATACCTTATCTGAAACCCTAATCCCCAAAAGGCCTCACGCAACAACTCAACGCACTCATAAGCCCTCTGGTGTTACGGGTGTCCATGGGCGGCATAGATTGCTTACCATCAGGTAATGCGTCTGCTCTTTTGCCGACTTATCATAAAAAGTAAAAAAAAACTATTTAAGACTAGGTCAAGATAAAAATCTTGAAATATATTTTTCATCAGTCTTTTCGTTAAAAAAATAGCCAAAAATTACGTACATGTACGAATGGGCCGAATAGCAGCCTTTTATGATATCATTATCTAATAATTAGCGATGACCTAATGGGCCCTAATTCCAGATACAGACACAGGAGATCTGGAACCTGAGCGAGTGGATCCAATGTTGGGCAGTGGTCGTAAAAGAGGGGGTGTGGTCATACCTGCTGAGGGGGCCTACGATCCCAAGAACTTCGTGGACTTGAAGGTGCCTCCGGAAATGGAGAACATATTCCAGTACATTATGAAGTAAGTGCAATGTTTCTGTAATGATTTTGACTGTAGGTCTTGGCTAAACGGATTTATGGTGGTTGGAACAATGAGTGGAGGGGCCCGCGTGATCATCTGGCCGGCCAATACCCGTCGGGCGGTAGTGACAAATTGTGATAGTCTGTCGTCAGATGATAGTTGTCGGCCATCGCTGAAAATCAGCGCTGCGACACTGTCTCGCATAGTGTCGCTGCATATGCTGAGCGAGGGCCATTTCGGGTGCATTGCATTTGTGACGCATATTGTTCCTTATATTACTCTTTTTTATATTGTATTAACCAGCTGTTTTTTTGTTTTTGTGTTTAAACACTAGACGCGAATAAATACATTTGCTTTTTCTGGCATCTTTTCATTTTTCGTACATCCCTGAGCTGTGCCTTTTTAGGCACATTAAACATTCTCGCTATTCGTGTTTGTTACATGAATCTGTAATGGCTTTTTGGAGGGGAAAATGAGGCGAGAGGGAGTGTCAGACTCTTCATCATCATTTTTCATATTCGGGCCCATCGACCGTCCGTCTTTCGAGCGACGTAGCCTGTCCATTGCCAGACTCTAACTGTCTAAAAACCCCCCGGTTACTTCTCCTGCTTCAGGAAAATCTGTAATAGCTGTAATCACAATATCGCTCAGCGCGTTCAGTGATGCAGTGGAAGTCAGGGCCAATACAATAATTACTCTATTATTTCATTACGTTTCATTGAAATTAATTTAATTCAACATTAATGCGTTTAAACGCTTCGAATAAAAGATGGCGTCACGCTATCATTTAATCAAATGTAAAACAAAGTGATATTTACTGAACACAATTCATAGCACCATGACAACCACAAATTTTATGCATCCTGCTCATTAAAACTCGTATCTATTACTGTTGTAATAAGGCCTTGAATCCCGTGCACAAATCAGGTCATACCGATTCTATTTCATAGATTCAGTGGGCAGACTACCCACAGACCAACCTTGCACTTAGTTTGAACCTAGATATTAGCTAAAGAGTAATTTGTGGTCTAATTTGTACGTGACAGGGTTTATTCTTGGTTGTGGCGATGAGTGGCGAAGATCTCGTGGTATCAATGAGGCCGTTGAGTCTAATTTTGTGTGCGTTATACAGCGGGTTATGAAATAATGAATCCCTGTTTGATATGAAAGTACATACATGATAATGGCAAAAATATGGCCCCTATTGAACATAGGAATATTGTAAACACGAAACTTATTAGTATAGATGTATTTTGTTACTCTTTCACGTAAAAACTACTGAATGGATTTCGAATGAAATATTGCACTGATATTGATTAAATGATTATACACTGGATTAATAAATTTGCTTCTACTGTACTTTGGGCGAAGTTGCTTGCAGAAGCTACATAAATATATCGGGTAAAATAATGCATTACTAAATACACTGTTTATTGACGTATACAATATTTTAATTATTATTATTAATTTTCATGTTAATAATAATAAGGATGTGTGGATTCGACCTTCATTGTACCTATAGTTGTGTCAGCCAATGGCTTAATATCTAAGAGCCTCGACCAACATCTTAGGAGGCTCTCGTTAGGTGGCTGGATCAATGGCTTGATTCAGTAAGGTGTAAAGTACCGGACAGAAGATGAACTACAATTTCTTGAATTCGGTATAACACCTCATACTTATTCTTATTTATCTTATTAATATATAAGGTTAAATATTGAAAAAAAAAGATTATCTTTTTATTTCAATGTTTAACCTTAACTATAACCTTTACTAAGTATGAGGTGTTATATTGAATTCAAGAAATTGTAGTTCATCTTCTATCCGGTAGTTTGTTTAAATGGAGAATTAGTTTATGTACAGACATAAAAAAAACGTATCTAGTAGGTACTTTGTCCAAATTGACAGACTAACAAATTACCGGCAAAAATCCAGGAAAATCAGCAAATTGTTTTTTTTTGTAATAACTAACACTATGAATAGAAACTTTTTAAATTGTATCTCGTATAACCAATAAGGTATAACTATCAACTTCAAATAGATATTTAAATTCGTCACACGAGAGTAACATTCAGTTACAACATTCTGCGATAGTCCACTTTCCAACATACTTACATATAGTATATCATACAAAATTAACGTTTACAACTAAGTAATATCGAGTTACTCGGAATTTGAATTCGAGACGTCGCGTATCGATTACAATTTAACTAATTAGGTGATCTCGATTGTAGTTTTTGACAAGTTTTTTTTTTATTTTAATCGTACGATCTATATTTGGTTTTATTTTTTTATCTGTTAAGTAATTACATAATATTAGGTATATGTATACTGTCAGTCAACGGACTGTTGAAATACGCTTAGGTTGCTGACAACAAACTCAATACATATATCGAATTGACAAATAAATAAATGATTAAAGGTTTTTACGTGATAGGCGGCAAACGAGCAGACCGATTTCCCGATGGTAAGCAATCAGACAGGAATAATAAGTCCAGGGAACCTCACGGTGTTCTCATAGTGTCTAAATACACTTAAAAAGTACACACTTAATATGCGCTTTCTATATATTAAGTACGACACAATACTAGTCACCAACCATATTAGTTGACTGTACGGTTGGCGCGGTGGCTGCCGCGCGAGGTGTCGCGGCTTCGATTCGAACAATTTTGTGTGATCCACAAATAATCTGTGGTCTGGGTGTGGTGTGTATGTGAAATTGTCACACGAGGACATCCCAGCGTGAGGCAAAGTTTTTTTAAGAAAAAGAATGTAGGTACTTCGGAAAAAGTCAGATTGCTACAATACTGGGATATCAAACCCACCTCATAATGCATGAGCTCCACGATGTCTTATTATATTCTCCACCGACTATTAATCAGATAATAAAAGTATAAAGAACTAATTATTCAGATCAGCTTGCGAATATCTCTGTGTTCGAGAAACTGTCTCACACTTCTTTGAGAAAACCACATACGTATGGACGCCATTAGATCAACCTTCTGTTTTTTATGTCAGTTTTCTTTGTTGCATTTTTTACTTTATTCTTTTGATATAAAGGCGACAATTAAATGAAAATAATGATATGCTGGTGTAAGTTGATTTGCTACAAAAGGCTAACATGATATTCACAGGGTGATTTAAATAATTACTTACATCTTTAGAGATAACATCTAGCCATTGTACCGCTCATCCCAGTCAGTTGAGAGGTGAGCTTTCAAATTGCTGCCATTTATTTTTTATTGGTTTGATATTTTATTTTTTATTTATTTATTTATTTAAGTCAGGCATCTGAGGCCCATAGAGAATACAATACATAAATATATTATAATATTAAATCATAAACTAATACATATGTTACATAGATAACTTAAAAACTAATGCACACGTAGTGTCGTGTTACGCTGCGTGGTGTCGCGTAGCCATCCTCGGAACCTCCGATATACGACACCCTTCGGCCAAAACTCTTCCTTGAGGAATGTCTCGAAGTGATGAGTTGGAACTCGCACCATTAACGAATTAAAGTTCGTATTGTGGCGCGACTCCAACTTCGCCACCCTCAAGGTCCAGTTGGTCTTGGATCGTTTAATTTTGATATGTTTAACAATACCTAATGTAAGAAATAAATAGGGTTGTATTCAAAGTCAAAGTCAAAATCATTTATTCCAACTAACTAAACCATAAATAGGTACTTTTGAAACGTCAAAATAGAAAAGTAGTCTGTCAGTCAGCTCGTCAGTGAAGCTAGGTGCTCGTTCCAAATTGTAGATTCGAATGGAGAAGAACGAGCAAGAAATTCCATCGTTACTCTTTAAAAAAAAAATGTTTTACAATTTCAATAGTTAATAATTTGGTATATATTATTGTACGCTTATGTGAGAACAATGCAGAGATATTAACTTTGGTTTGCCATTTAAGACGTCTCAAACTGATACCACGGCCTCACGGTGGCCACACGTGTGGAAGACGCTTTATTGATTTCACTCTTCCAGGGTGGGGCGTTAGGGAGTGTCAGAATCTTACTGACTAAAAACCACCCTGATCCTTCTCATGCTCCAGGCCGGGGCCGGTAGATAATTGCGCTTGCTTCCGCAATCAACTGAACATCAGCTCTATTGGGGCCGATGACGATATAACCACTATATCCTCTTTGATTGGGGCTTATTTGTGATGGTCTATTGGCCCTTTATCCGGCTCTTTTCTGTATCTACGGGCATCCCGATTGCTTACCATTACTGGTTCGTAGAAATTAGGTAGCTAGTCTATCCCATAAAAAAAAATTAACAGCGAATCTTAGTTTCTGCTGAGTATTCATTGGCTATCTGTCAATTTACTTTTTATTAATCCTACCTAATTCGCTATACGCCGCCTACACCGGGTTCATGAACTGCGATAGGTGTATGTAGGTATGTACTTACCTGTGGTACTTACTTAAAAACTAGACCCATCTCACATAATGCAGCAGATTTTTAACCTTATCGTTTTGTAATAAACTTGAACTTAAAGTCTGTTTGGAGTTGGGGAAAACTTGGTGTCTTGGTAGGTACAATTGGAATTTACTTTTTTTGTATAATCTTAACTGTTCATGATTTCTATGATGTTGCCAGTCCGTGGGCGGTGCTGATCATTCATCATGAAGTTATACGCCTGATTGTTTGACTCCTATTTCATTTTTTTTCCACTTGCCCAAGCCTTAGTTCTCAATCCTCAAATACTTAACAGCCAAAAACCCTGCAACGTACTTTAACTCCTCCGTTATTGCAACGGTGCATAGTCTTCGCTGAGTCAGTCAGCTTTGTTACCACTTACCGAAGAATGTGACACGTTTCATTAAAAATAAAACTAGAAATTTAGAATATCTAAAAGCCAAAATATTCTACCAATTGTTATGTAATATATTTGACCATTCTTCCCCAGATACACGCCACAGAAGATAGACATAGACCTGAAGCTGCAGCCATTTGTCCCGGAGTATGTGCCGGCTGTGGGAGACATTGACGCCTTCATCAAGGTCACCACCCCCGCCTGCAACGTGCGCGCCGCGCCCCTAGCTGACCACGTCTTGGAACATATTGATAATTTAGGTCAGTATAATGTTATGAAGGAAATTAAACGACTTGATCGTCTTGAAACTCGGTTTTTTCCCTCATAAATTTCTAACAGATCACAAAAGACGGTAAACGGACGAAAAACGCACTTGTCTCATTTGTTTTTGCGGCTTCGATTGCTTACTTTAAAGTGATCCTTCTTTCTGTGAGGAGGAAATCGCCAAATAACTTCTCCCGCTCAGGGTCGGGCTGGAGGGAGTGTCAGACTCTTACTGACTAAAAACCCCCCTGTTCCTTCTCCTGTACTGGGCCGAGGTCGCGGTGCCTCATTGCGCTTACCCCACAACCCTGGCTGAACATTAGCCCTATAGGGCCCCGTCTGTGGTGGTCTATTGGCTCTTTGAAGCGCGCGCGGAACGCTACGCGCCGTACGCTCGGGTCTGGTTCTGTTCTAGCGAGCTACCCTTACTCGCCGACCGTAGACCCGCGCTTACGGTGGCCGGAGATCGTTTCTCTATGAGAGTACAGTTGTGACTTGAAACTAGTACTTTTTCTCAGTTATATATAAGTACATATGTTAGGTAGTAAATTTATTTTTGTAAATATTCCAGGGTTGACGGTGTTAGACGAGCCAGCTGCTGAGCAGAGTGACGCGGCGCTCCTACATCTGCAGCTCAGGGCCATCTCCAAGACCAACAGTGCCAAGTCTACTGTGGTGAGTAGACCTCCCAATAATTATGAATGCGAGAATTATTGAGGTCTGTAACTAAACGCGGTAGGCGGAAATGTACTGACGTGAATTTTCTGTTATCATGGCTAAACCATGATGGTTAACTAAAAGAAAACAATATTGGTATACATAATTTTATGTCGTGGTGGCCCGGAGGTTAAGGAGCCCGCTTCTCATGCATGGGTGTGGGTTCGAAACCTGACAAGTACCAATGTGACTTTTTCCGAGTTATATGTACTTTCTATGATCATTTAGACACCACTGACATACGGTGAAGGTAAACATCGTGAGGAAACCTGGACTTATAATTTCAAATTATAAGTTTGATATCGCCAACCCGCATTGAGCAAGCGTGGTGAATAATGCTCAAATCTTCTCCGTATGAGAAGAGGGCTTTGCTCAGCAGTAAGCTCTTATAGGCTGATGATGATGATGATGATACATATCTTTATATTAAAGAGGTCGTATAAAATACATACAAACATTAAATTATTTAAATTTTATTTATAACCTAATATTGATTAAGGTTAATACCTGATTTTACAACTACACCCTTCAAAAAGAATTGGTGCCCAAATTTATTACATTAAGGGCTGATTTTTCAATAGTTAGATAAAAGTTACGTGGGGAATAATTATGATGCTGTCGCGTCAAAATGTTTGTATAAGACAGTGACAGCAACAGTTTTATTCCTCAGGTAACATTTATCTGACTATTGAAAAATCTGCCCTTAGTTGATTACCTTAACCAATAGACCGTGGTTTCTTGAATAGCTCCTTATTCTGGCATGACAATCTGTTTATAAATCATCCTCGATAGACATGGTACAAGCAATGGCTATACACAAAACGCAAGTAGTAAGAATTTGAACCTTCATACCTGTGTAATAAATACCATTTTTATATAATTCTAGGTAACGAAGAAGATAGAAAACGCAGAGAAAAATTCAAAAGCTATTGAACGTTGGATCAAGGATGTGAGTGAGCTATATCTGTCGAAGCCCGCGCCGACTGTCGCGTATACAAGGTAATTACGACCTTGTTATGTGAATCAGAAGCACCATGTTTGAATTTTGGAAATAGGATAATATTTTAAGACATGAGATAGAATATTCTGTAAATAAGAAGCAAAGTTGTTTTTGTATTTGTAATCCCTCTTTAGTTTTTTGAACGATTATCTATATTAAATAAAGAATATTTCAAGTCGACCTAACAGATTAACAAAGCTTATTTTTTGAGAATGAAAATCATCAAATGGCTTTTCTCGCCCAGTGTTAGGGGAAGTGTCAAACTCTTACTGACTAAAAACCAACTCGTTCCTTCTCCTGCATCAGGCCGAGGCCGCAGTACATTATTATGCTTGACCCACAACCCACAACCCCGGCAGATTTAACTAAGCTAAAGGTCACATTCATAATTGTGTATTCGTAAAGGTCTTTATTATAATATTATAAAGCTAAGAGTTTGTTTCTTTGGTTGTTTCGACACGCTAAACTCCGAAACTACTGGTTCCAATTGAACAATTATTTTTGAGTTTGTTAGTCGATTTATCGAGGAAGGCTATAGGCTATAAAACATCTTGCTAGGATCTATAGCAGCCGACCAGCGGGTGCAACCGCACGAGAGAAGCTAGTAATAATTTTTACAATTTCTTTTCAGTAAAATGCCGGACATTGATACCTTAATGGAGGAATGGCCGGAATCTATGGAGGAAACGCTAAACGAGGTCGGTTTCCCTCCAGGCAACTTGGACTGCAGTCTTTCCCAGTATGTGGACCTTGTATGCGGGTTATTCGACGTGCCCATAGCCGGCGACACATTGAACGATAGGATCCAAGCCCTGCATCTCCTGTTTAGTTTGTATTCTGCTGTGAAAACATCACAATTGTATGCTGAAAGACAGAAGGAACAAAGCGATAGCAACGCTTAGTGTAGTTAGGAATAAATGTTTTGTTGTTTTGTAGTTGGGTGTTTTATTTTTACTATACCTGGATTAAGGTACCCTTAATATACATAAAATCCGAATGCTAAAAGAAATATTCTCCTATTAGGACTATCTCCTGTGTCGTGGATGCATTTTTTATAAATGACGACACACAATTTCAAATACGTACGCTTGTATAGGTGACAAGTGGAAAAACAATCTGTTGATAACACAATGATTTGTTTCGTAACTTGAACCCACAACTTTGCAACAGTGATTTTATGACTGATCCTTTTCAATAATGAAATCGTGTGGACCACGAGACAAGCTACCATATTTTGTTTTATTGCGGCGTAAAAACCACTAAAATCCTGGGTGAAAATATTGTGGCGCCCACAAAAGAGCAGTTTTATACAAAGCTTGATCGGAAAATCGACAAAACATCATCAGCTCGCCCTGAGTAAGGCGAGAGAGTGTGTCAGATTATTACTAACTTAAAACCACTAATTTCCGTAATAATTTAATATACTCTTGTCAGTTGAGTAGTCTAAGCCAGTAGGGGTCGGTAATAAAGTACCGCGGCCCCGACCTGTACCTTCATTAAATTATAGCGGAAATTAACGGAATTCCATTTCTTGTTAAAAAAACAAAGTGTTCCATGTAAATTATATTTATTGTAACTCAAGTGAGATCTACATTAGGGTATCTGGAAGACTACATAGGACTAAAACATAACATCTACACTACACTGTATCATAGAAAAATATTTTATTCCATTATTCTATGAATACTCCAATCATTTATTTTATCCACATATTTATTAGTATCTGAGCGAAACTTGAAATCCAACCAAAAGCAAACGTTCCATTTTTAAATGTTTGAAAAATAACAAAATTATAATATTTCCCGCCTTCCAATCCTTACAAAAACATTCTTTAAGTTTCACGTACAGTTCAAAAGAAACCATATTTTTATCGTGACAAGTTCCAATTTAGGTTGGAAATCAAGTTTGAGATACATATTTTTTTAATTACAATGTTTCTAGTAATATGACTACGTTTAGTTGACTGCATAAATAGTCCTTATTGGGAAAAACTAGCCAAGACTCGGAGACTGCTGTGTTATACATTGAAACAAATTATAAATTCATACCCATTTCTTGAAAATTCACTAGAAAAATATAAATAATAGAAGTTGCAATAAATAATTTTTCACATACTATAATTATTAGTTGGTTCAGATATTATATTTTTTTCTGTAAATAAACCGATTAAGGGTATTGAATTTTAAATCTCATCTTGTACACTAGCTAACGAAAAAAAAAGTTGAAGTAATCTATTTTGAATAAGCCAGCAGTCTCCACAAGTTGTAACAATTAATTTGTACCCAATGAACGTCGACACGATAATAATAATAATTGAAATGTTTTTTGTCTACTAAGATTTAGTTACATTATACTAAGAATCAATTTAAATACACGATCAAGCTTCAAAAGCTGAATAATTCTATAACTTTATTTAAAGTGCTTTTTATGTTATATTTTTACTATTTTTTTCCATAGTCTAAGAGTCGACGTCCAAAGGGCGCATACCATTGACAATGAAAATTTACATTTAATAAAACTAAAATATTTTGATATTTACATATTACAGCAAAATTTACAAAGCTTATATTATCACAGTTTTCCAAAATTACCACCCACACATACATACGTCCGTACACGCTTTATTAATTAGCCGTGAGCACTGAACTATTGTGTTTTCAAAAATACAATCGACAAATATAATTTCTTTGAAAAAAAAAAACGCGTCTCGTCTGTTATTTTACTGAATAAGGCAAAGGGTAAAATAGTGCACACTGTATAGCTAAGAACCGATATAAGGAATAAATAAACCCTTCTCACCCCCGCTTAAATAATAATTCGACCCAACCTGTCTCTATAACCCCACTGAGTCGAGGTTCAAGCCCCACTGAGTCGAGGTTCGAACCCCACAGCGAGGGTTCTCAGTAATGCAGTTATTTAGATTCTAAGTTGCTTCCTATGCCCTAGCTGGAGGCCACTGCATGGATAAGTCCGGTTAAGTAGCCAACAGCCTACGAGTGGCAATAAATAAATACGATGGAAAAGTTTCTTAGTCTCGATTGAATTCAATGACAAAGTTACTTATACTTGACCGCCATTTTGTTAATGTTGTGAGTTTTTGTAGTTAATTGGCATATAAATAGATGTTGCATTATTTTTAAACATGTTAAATAAATTAATTAATTGAATGTCATTGTCTATCTTAAATTTTATAATGGCTGACAAACGTTTGAAGACAAAAAGTCCTTTTTATAAAGCATACATTTTCTTTTTATGAACAAACATAGTTATTCCTTTTTCAAATCACAGATTATTCTATATCTGCTTAAAATTGACAGTTGATTATAAAAATATTTATAAAAATCGTAAGCTATCGGCGCCTATGAACACTTGCAACATAAAAGAGGTACAAATGTATTACCGACTTCGAGATTTGAGGATATAGGGATAGGGTTGGCTTAAAGATTTCCGTGAGGCCTAAAGATACATTATAAAATATAGATATTATTTAAACAATGTCAGTATATACAATTCGAACGTAAAGCCTCATGCCAAGTAAATAAAATATAACAGTATTGCACATAACGGATTACAATAATAATAAAATAATGAATTGTACATTTAACTTTGAATAATATTGTGTAGATGTAGTAAGTAGTATGTATAAATTTTCAATTGAAATATTTTATATAAAATTAAATTAAATAAGTTACTATTTTTTCTCTTGTGATATTTTGTAAACGTAAATATTTCCATATTGTTACTATTCTGAGATATAATAAATTAATTAGGTCATAGGGTTTATTTACGTAACTGTTCGACGAGATAGCTCGACAAATTTCAAAGGACCCATAATCGGTGAATTTTACGCATACTTTTCAGTTACGTGATTAAGCCCGTTAACTAACATTTCACTATTAAGGTAAGCTCTAAAATTAATTATACAAATCAAATTCTTCTGTAGTAACATATATCACCATAATAATTTACAAGCAAAAAAGTTTCCAGTCAACATTAAATTGGGTAGCTTCCTAGGTCAAAAATAAATTACTTCGACGTTTCGGTACAATAAAATATTGAAAAATAGCTATACTTTTATTCATCGGTCTGTCGATACACAATTTTTTTTTAATAAATTATTTAATATTTGACTCAAAGATACAATGACGTCATAATTTGGAATACATACAAATTTCATAGTATAGTAGTAAAAGTATTTACCTAGTTTTTGACATTTGGATAAAAGTACATATTGAATTTGACTGTTTGGAAACTACCGTATTGTAATTGTAACAGATTTATTAATGTCCAGAGTACTAACATCGTCGATAATCCCATGCGATGGAAAACTTTGGAATACTCATGCAGTTCACGAAGAGGGTAACAGCCAAGTCGATGCACTCACAACACTCAATAACCTCACTCATCCACGTATTATAATCACATAGAATTTCACTTTATTCACTAAAATTGTCTTTTAATGTTTTTTCATATTATTTTTACGTAGTTTTTAACTTACATTCCTGTTATCAGTCGAGGATTGTTTTTATTTTATATTATCACACGGTTGGGATGCGTGGCAAGTCGTAATATGGTATTACGGGCCTTCCACGTTACACTTCAGTCATTGTTTTGCGTCACCTGAAAATATAGAGACGAAAATATTAGCTTTATGAACTCTATTCTTCATATTCTATCTTAAATATAAAAATGGATCGCAAAATGTGCTGGTAAGCGCACAACTCAACAACGCCTGGACCGATTTTACCGATTCTTTTTTTGGTATATTAATTTCTAGCTTCCGGCGGCTTCGCCCGCGTGGTATGTTGATAAAAAGTAGCATATGTCTTATTCTAGAGTTTATCCTATGCCTGTTCCAAATTTCAGCCATTATGGCGTAATTGAGTAACTTTAACTTTCGCATTTATTAAATTAGTAAGATTGTCAGGAGAAGTTTTACTGGTAGACATTTTAGACTGGTAGAGGGGAACGCTGAAATTCATCGTTAGCAAGATATTTGGAGACTCGTGCGAAGCAGTGAAAAGTACTCAGGAGTTTAATTTTTGAAAACTTAGCTAGACAGTATTTTTTTTTGTATTGTTGGTGCGTTAGCAGCTATATTTGGATTACATAAAAACTTTTTCTGTAAGAGAATTAAATCTAAGATATAATGCTAAAACAATCGCGCTTATTCCTAGTTATTACTGAAGAAAAACTTGCTTTTGCCTCAGCACGTATTGGCTCTAGCGGAGTTACACCACGACCTGACGAAGAACTGACGTGAAACAACGCTAGCGTAGTGTTTCATTGTGTAACTGAGCTACGGAGGCCCAATCTCCCACACAAGCTAGACAACGCACTTCTAACTACTCTGGAGTTGCTGTTATCCAATATGGCGCTGATTGTTTACCATCCTGTAGTTGGCAATCCGACTAGAGCAGTTACAAAGATTACCCCCTACATACAAACTTACAAATTTTACGTCTATAATATTAGTATATATAATATTATAGTTTAACAATTACGTATAGGTGAGCTTTAATTAATACCAAACCAAAAGTGAACTTATAATACCATAAAAGACCTGGTTACCTGGCTAATGGTAGTGGAACAGGTTGAAGAGTCTTCGGTTGAAGAACCGTTGCTGCTTCAGCTCGGTGAGGTCGCGCTCGTCATCGTTGCGGATGCAGAAGTAGCTCGTGATCACACTGCGGCATATCGGACACTTGTCCAGTTTCGCTGGAATATAGAGGAGAATGATTTTAGTATAAATTGTGTATACTTTCTAATATTATTAAGAAGATATAAGTATATTTATAAGACTGCAATAAAATACCTTTGGTTTTAACTCTGTAATTATACAAAATATATGTAAAAAGGATTTAAATAAAGAAATATTTTTTTATTGTTTTGTTTTGCATTGTAAAATTACTTGAGGGATTTGAAAGTAACATATTATTTTTGGTTTTTTTAAACTTTGATCTCTTTAGTCCTTAAGGATCAAAGACCTTCTAAGGTTTTGGCAGGTAAAGTTAGCAATGAGGTAACTTTATGAAACAGTGGAATGACAATGATTATTCGTTTTTTTCTAATAAATCTGCTGTAAATACTGCTCCTACTGAACATGTTCCTCAAAGGATATGTCAATTAGGAGCAGTCTTGTGGTCATACTTAAAAGAGCTATTCAAGATACACGGACAGTGCTACATTTCATACGTTTCTTGTCAGGTCCTGATTCTATTGTCCTTACAGAAGAGATAGAAGAAGATAGAGTGTTTAATGGTGTACTCACGCAGACAGTCGGCACAGAGACAGGCGTGCCTGCAGGGCAGCAGGGCGCGGGACAGTGGGTGCGCGGCGCACACGCAGCACAACGCGTCGGCCGCGCTGTGCGCCGCCCCGTACCCCTCCGCCGGGCCCCCGCACTCACCGCTCACGTATAGTTGCTGGGGAAAAAATTGCATATTTACACCAAACAAATTAACAGTATATTACCTAAAGTGTTGGAGAGAGAGAGGGAGAGAGAGAGAGAGAGAGAAAGAGAGAGAGAAAGAGAGAGAGAAAGAGAGAGAGAAAGAGAGAGAGAAAGAGAGAGAGAAAGAGAGAGGGAGAGAGAGAGAGAGAGAGAGAGAGAGAGAGAGAGAGAGAGAGAGAGAGAGAGAGAGAGAGAGAGAGAGAGAGAGAGAGAGAGAGAGAGAGAGAGAGATAGAGGGAGAGAGATAGATAGAGAGAGAGGGAGAGATACTTTTGGTTTAAGATACTTATATCAGATTGTCGTGGTGGTCTGGAGGTTAAAGCCCATGATTTTTTTTATTTAAGGAATGCCTTCGTCCTTTAGCCAGATCGCCAATGTCAAAATCACATTTAAAAATACTAATCACCTTACTAACTTATATAAAGCTTAGTCTTATCGAACAATGGAAATGCTACAATGGAGTTACACATACCTAAATCTAGCACTTTCCAATCGACTATGAATAAATAGCATTGTTACTTGTGATTGACTGGAAATCACCATTGTAACTTTTATAGATTGTTTAGACATTACGGACAATCACATCATCAGCATATGAGTGTCTGCTGCTGAGCAAAGGCCTCTTCTCACACGATGAACTCGTTTATGGCGTTCGCCGCCCTGATTGAGCTACTCCAAGTGAGAGTTAATATAAAAATAACTTGCACAGCTTGCACTAGACATTCTGGGCTGAAATGTAAATTTGAAATTGGAATCCTTTCCCTTTAAGCAAGCGTAGTGAATAATGTTCATTCCTTCTCCTTATCAGTAGAGGCCTTGGTCCGTAATGAGCTCTAGTATACTCATAATGATGATGGATAACTATCTTCCTTATTCTCAATCTTACCTTCAAACAGGACAGATGTCCATTCGCCTGCTTCAAGTACTGCGCGATCACACCGCTTGGCAGTGGGCACTGATCGTCTCTGATATGCACTACGCTTATTAACGCCACCTGAAATATACATACAAATCAAATATAATTATCATCTACTAACATAGTTTTTATTAGGCAAATAAAAAAGAAAAAGAAGATGTCATGATTAATTATGCAATCCGGTGCAGCTTGAAATTAATCGAGAATCCTCGAATAGTTTTCTAAATTAAGCTTTCTATGTCAAGCTGTAGGAAAGAAAAAGAATAATGAATATATTATGCTCGATTCATTTTAAGCTGCACCGTCTGCTTCGAAGCAGCATTTTGAACTTATCGTTTCCAGAATGGAAAAGAAAAATTTATGCAATAACATGTATTATTCAATTAAGTGTGGTAATCGTTCGGAAGTAGCACGTACATGCATTTCACTGTAATTGTTATTTAACGGATTACAAGCAAAACATGCTTCTTCGGTCGAGTGGTTTCCAATGGAGCTAGAAACTGAAACGCTTAAAGTGTATAAGTAAAAAAAGGAGTTGCATACCAACCTAAGTTGATCTCCCACACTTAGGTTGATAAGGGACTTGATCTAACACACTTAGGGGCGCGAATGTGTCAGTTCGACCAGGGCGATACCACGGCGGCCTCACAGAAAAAAGGCGTGAAACAACCACAGCGTGGTGTTTCGCCGTGTGAGTGAGGTTACCGGAGGCTCAATCTTTCCCCTTCCCCAATCATTCCCTAAACCCAATCTTCCAAAGGTCGGCCACGCACTCGCAACTCCACTGTTGTTGCGGGTGTGCATAGGCGGTGCAACGTTACTTACCATCAGTAATCCGTTTGCTCGTTTTGCAACCTTTTACCTAGAAACCGATACGAGAAAAATGCATAAATGAGTATTCATATCACCCTTACCGTATCATCAGGTCTGAGTTCCCCTGTGTCTCGAAGATCTCGCGCCAAGATCACAACCAGGGGGTAGCAGGACCTAGGAGGTGGCCCGAGCTGGAGTGGCTCCTCCGTTGATAGCCTCAATGTTTTCTCATCGTGAGGGCTGCTTCTGTAAAGAGGGAGAATAATATTAAGCAATGAGGTAGTTGGCGATTGAAAGCAAACATATCGGACACAATATTGGATATCCTGTATAGTCCAAGAGTGGACTGTTTCATGTTTTTTAAATTTTTTATTACACAAAACCTATCGCCCTTTACTAGGATTTCCTTCTATGTCGTAGGTGCGTTTACAAACATACAATTTCACATACATCAGAACCAATGTTTTGTAAATGACACAAAGGTTTTTTGTGAGTAGCAACCTGCGGCAGAGATTTCCTGATCTCTGAAACATGATAAGTGCCAATGTGACGTTATCGGAGTTACATGTACTTTCTTAAATAGATTATTTGGGCACCAGTGATTTAGGCTAAAAGAAGATATGGAGTTATAATTTCTAATTAAAAGTTTGAAATCGTGAACCCGTCTTGAGCAAGCGTCGAGATTAATGCTTCTCTTTATATTTTTTATTTATTATGTTTTCTTGTTAATAATTTATCCTTCTCCACGTGATTCTTAAAAAAAAAACAAAAATATTTGTCGATGCGTCTCTTTGAAGTTCAACTAGTTCGTTCTCAAGTCGGTTCCAATGTCCCTAAAGTCTTTGTAAAAATTTATTATAACCTATAATAATGCCCCTTGCCATTTAATAACAAAAATAAATTTATTAAAGTCATGACTTATCGACGTACCATTAATTTTATTTAAAAATAATTCCACAACAGTCCTTAGTGTCACTGAATGTCACTTTTAACAAATTATTTATTTGTGGCAGCCGTGAACTAGGCTTAAGTATAAAGCGGGTGAGTACTGAGTATATGTTTATGAGAAAATACTTAGTTGTTGGTAGTTAGTTTAGTTCATATTTATTTGTGCAAACTTTCTTCTATAAGTGAAGGAGTACACCAACAATATACCTATTGTTAATGTTATACTTTGCCATGTTGTGTGTTGTTTTATTGGAGATCCAAAATAGATAAATAAAAAGAACTACACTTAAGCATTTTGGTATAATATTTAAATATAAGGGGGACAACCTATCCTATATGTCAGCCGGGGTTGCGGGGTAAGCGCAATGAGAAACTGCGACCTCGGCCCAGAGCAGGAGAAGGAACGGGGTGTTTTTTAGTTAGTAAGACTCTGACACTCCATCCCGCCCGACCCTGGGCGGGAGAAGTCATTTGACGATTTTCCCGTCACAAAAAAACCTGTCTATATCTACAACTACATATACAAAATTTAAACGAATCTGGTCTATCCGTTTTTGTGTGAATGAATAACAAACATAAATTATCACAAACTTTCACATTTCGTAGGATATGTAGTAGGATATATTTAAATCCGTTAAAAAAATAGAGCACAAAAAGTACGTCTTCATCTAATATATTCAGACGATACGAATTCAAATCGTGGGAACAAATGCAGGTGATAGTACCGGTCGACCGTTCAATTAACTGGTCGCTTCGGCCGTATTGTTCATCGATTGAGGTCACTAAGGAGGTTTTATACAATGGAAAATTCTGGAACATTCGCCAATAATAACCTTTTTAAAGGGCAATTAGGATCGCAATTTGTGATATTTCATTGTTATCTGAATCCTCTTGTTGCTTTTTGCAGTTAATTCCATAATTGTAGATAATTAAGATGATTGTGAAGCTTTATACTGTTTATTTACCTCATTATTAATCTTGAGTAAAACATTTTATCGGTGAGACAAAATTAGAACGAGGTTTAGATTTACAAGAAGCGATTGATTTTCTAATATGTTATTATAGTATATACATATTTTACAAGACAATGACAGAAAGTAGTACATATCTTACCAAAACTAAACCAACTAACCAAACCTTCTAACTTTTTTAAACCTTTTTGGTATAGATCTCTTTCAACTTTTCTATTTCTATCTGCTTAGCACGCTATACATCCATATTGACCCAGCAGCCGTAGCAGTACACTTTTCTCTTCACAACATTCACGCCATGGATAACAGAACTGGACCTTCAATTTCGATAGTTTCTAAAACCGACAATTTTCTAACATCCTATCATCCATATGAAACAGTAAAACTTCTATATTCATCCACTAACCTATCACTTTATTTACCATCGACCTTGGCAGGCTTATAACAAACCTATACCTCTCAATAACTTTGAAGAGCAGTGAATGAAGCAGGCATGCGGCATGTCTTTATCCTCACGCCACGATCATCGATGCACGTGCCAAGTATTCCAATAGCTTCAGAAGCCTTGATACGATCGTAAGTGATTTAGAGAAGGTCCAATGTCGATAACAGGATGTATAGATGATTTAAATATAGGCCTGATGGTTGATGATAATGGATAGCCTTGCTGGTTTTAGGTTCGCGAGTTTGAAGTAATGTGTTGAATAGGTTGATCTAGAGTCGTGAAAAATCCGGATAAAGAGCATCAAATATTTGGCACAATATACCTTTAGCAGTGGGCAGAAAAGGACTTGAAACAGAGATGATGACAATAAACAGAAGTAAATACAAATGTCTGCTACAAATAACAAAAATCTTTCTTCACTACTTATAGTATAAAACAAAGTCGCTTTATTTATCCTATATCCCCATGTAGGCTTAAATCTATAAAACTGCGCAACTGATTTTGGTAGATAAAGTAATTGAAAAAGGTTTTATTTTTCATTGTAAAAAATTGTAGCAGCAATCCCTAAAAGATTACCAATTCAATGACCGCATACCAAACAACTATAGATCTCGTGATCTCGGACTGATGCCGAGATCAGAGTCCGAAGTAATCGCATCAATATATGCACGGTGTTGCAACGAGTCACGGTCGCAGGTACAATGACAGACTGACATTCATTTAAAACGTGACCCGCATGTGATACGTTTAGTTTCAAATGCATTAGCCGACTTAGTGGTACATAGAATAACAACCTGTATTTGCAGTTATATGATTTAGTGGTTTTTGCCAGTGGCTTTGCTCTTCGTACCAGGGTAAAAAGTAGTTTGTGTTATTTCAGACTTAAATTTATCCCTCTAGCGTGCGATACTATCGTAGACGGGGCCCAACGGCCTAATATTCAGCCAGGGTTGCTGAGGTTTCTATTTCTGTTCCAAATTTAATTCAGATTCGTTCTGTAGTTTTTATTTGTGAAAGAGTAACAAACATCTATCCATACTTACATACTCGCGTTATTTAGTAGAATTTCGAAGACTTTTGGGGCCTAGGTTTAAAAGTCGAAATATTGTAGCTGATATGAATATGAATGCTCAATTCTAGAATCATCACCGCACAATCTCCAAAACATGCAGTTTTGCGGAGATTGCAAAATAAAAGGTTTAGGTTTTTAGAAAACGCTTACAATAGTCTAGTCTTCACCAAAATTAAACGTTTTCTTCAATGCCACCTCATAGTTTAATTCATTCGTTATGTAATAAACGGAATTTTCAATGAAGCTGTTGTTATGTTTGAATCTATATATGTATTATTCTTCCAACCCTAAACGCAAGACAATCTGTGCAAATATTGTGATTATAGTTGGAACCAACTGCTTTTGTCTGAGGAAACATTCTGTGTTCATGGTTTGTATGTAAATATGTGTAAAAATTTTCTGGTCACGTGCCACTGCGATAATAAAGATCATGTTATTTATTGTATGTCGTTTTGTTAACGCGGACCATTAATAACAAGCTAATTTGGAAAATATTTAAATAATGACACAAGATTTTTTTATTTATGTACGAAAACAAAACTCGATCACTTGACGATGGCGATGTCTTCGTCAGAAACACAGTGACACAATTATTAATGTCAAAGATTTTTCTTCGCAAGATTTTTCTTCTGGGGTCAGTCACCGAATCAAGAAAAACTATTTAAGAGGTCCTATTTGGGATCCACAATATGATTATTAAAATTTTTCACTATCAAACGCTTGAGACGAAACCAGAAAATGTTCTTTTGTGATATAGGGAATACCGAATATAGTAAAAATAACTATAAGACATATGGCACAGTGACGTCACATTTTACAAAACAGCCGTTTTAGACATCAGAGAAAACGCTTTTAACTTGCCTTGGTGTTTGCTATATCAGAATGTCAAGGGTAAAGTGTATTCCAAGACTTCAAGTTGGATTAACCTTTTCATAGTTCACTGAGTAGGAACAGTTCACATTTAGGGTTGAACAATGTTGAAGTAGATTTCCCCTTGCCTTTTGCTTGAGAACCATTCAGGGTTTGAATGACGTCATTATGGCTTTTTGAGCAAGTTTGTTGTATGCAAGAATTTATTTTTCGGATACTTATCGGTAATTTTGGAGTTATCTAATGTGCCTAAACAACAAAATCACCATTATTATTTTAAATTGCAAACACATATGGGATTGCTTCACATTTTCCTTAAATTCCAACTTTTTCTCTTCCTCCCATTTCTTATCCCCAAGTCCCTAACAACCCTAAAAAAGTCACCAACGCAATCGTAACTCCTTTGGTGTTGCGGATGTCTATGGGCAGGCAGCGGCGATCCATCAGGTGATCTGTCTGCTCCATATCTATATACAATCTCCATACTGCTATTCCTGTACTATTCCATAAAAATATCACCCTCATTATGAAGATCTAAAAACACGGTGTTTATAATAGACTACCTAAGTATGGTTAGCTCGTGGAAATCTGTAATAGGTCATTGTTGGATGATTGCGATACTGATAGTGTTTATACCTGCGGTCTATTGTTTCAGATCGGAGTCACTAGGTTTTATAAACAATCCGATGGCAAGGACGTGAGCGCTGCTGACGAAGTGATCGGATTTCTGTTGATAGTGGTTGTTGAAACTTGTAGTTGATATATTATAGCTATTACATTTGCGCATAAAATTTAAGCCAGGCTTCATAAAAAAATGCTCTCTCTAAGAGCTAACAGGCAGGTTCAATAAGAGCTAAGCTTCAGAATGAAAAGAATGCTAGATGTATTACGAATGAGGAGCGAATAATGTCAGGGACGAGCAGGATCCTAGTAAAGATTT